CCTTCCTCCGATAACTTTTACGATCCTGATCACAACAAATCTAATGTCGTTCCTATCGGCCCGCCAATGACGCCAGCGTTCGGAAATAAGTCATTCTCCCTGTCTTGAGCCTTGCCAAAGCAACTAAACTCGAAACACGTGGGCACGTGCGGTATATTGTTGGAAGAAATTTTATGCCACGGAAAATGTACATACATACATGGCTCGTCACCTGGACAACCTAAGTCCTCCTCGTTAAAAAAGCCTTTTTGAAATCTCTCGTTTTAAATAACAGAAATGAATTTATTTAAAAACATTTTTCAACAAGAAAGGAGTAAACCAACGTCCTTTGTGTAAATGTAAAATATTTCTGACACATTGTCCTTGTGAAATTTTACGACGACGACGACGACGACGACGACGACGACGACGACAACGACAACGAAAACGACTAACATTTTCGCATTTCATTCGTAATTGGAAAATCCTTGAGAAATAACAATTTAATATCGTTACGTTCTATAATAGATCCTTTAAATTCAACGAAGATCCTTACTTTAAAAAATTTTTTTTTCTTTTTCTTCCTTTCTTTTCTTTTCTTTTTTTATAACGAAGAAAACGAGGTATTCTTATCTTTGGATAATCGCACTCGAACGGCACGTCTCACTCGCGCGTGTTCGACAAAACTGACACGCCGCTACTGGTCGCGGCGTCATTCGTTGACTAGCCGTGAAAAAGACCGAAGAAATTTCTAACGAATCAGGAGAAAGAGAGAGAGAGAGAGAGAGAGACAGACAGAATGAAATAGAGGGAGGGTCCTTCCTTCGATATTCTCCTCTTGGATATAAAAACGAAAAGTCGCAAAGCCTTCCTTGCTGTCTTTCGTGATAACTGATGTAAAAGAAACGTCGACAACGACGACAATGACGACAACGACGGACATCATGGAACACACAGCAAAGACTAATGTTTTTTCACTAACATGAAAAGTCACTGTATAGATACATATGTGCAACTTGATATCGTGCACTTCGTCGACCGATAGCGACATGACGATAAAAGGGAATACGATCGATTTTACCGTAAAAGAAAGAAAAAGAGAGCTAGAGTTAAAGCTAAAGAGAGAGATAGAAAGATAGAGAGAGAGACAGAGAAAATTCGAAGAAGCTTGCAATCCAATCATATCAATCGATCGAATCTTGTTTGATTGTTCTGAAAATTTTCGAACTTATATAATAAATCAATATAAAAAATTTCGAGGAATCAAGAAAGGAACACTTAATACTTCCGAATTCATTGTATTGTATGTATCTAATCAAAAGATAACATACGTGTTTTATCATTTGTTTATCAAACTTTAAACAAATATAGTATCGATGAACTCATTGCACGCAACAATTCGTTTGTCACAGATTCTCAAAGTGAAATATGCGATAAAACTTCCGAGAATATGCTGTAAAAGTTCGAAAAAAAAGAAAAAGAAAAAAATTGAAAAGTTGTTTTATGGGATCCCCTCGATCGGGACTCCCCAAATATGACAAGTATAAGTCAAACATTTAGGGACATTCTACGCATGTAGTTTATGAATACAAAATTTATTCTTATTGTTATATTATAAATACAGTTTTATCTATCTATACAAGGAGTGCACACTAGTTAAAATACATATTTATATTCCATTTTTGCATGAAGCATAAATAATTGAGATTCCCTGGTAACAAAACAATTTAAACAATTCTATTAATATGTTTATTTTTTGATAAGTATTACTTTATAAAGGTCATATCAACAAGATAAACGTTCGTACGAAGAAACAATTATCTTCTGTATTATTAAAAAAAATATCGATTTTCAGTGTATTAAGAGGGAGAAAAAAAAACCTTGCGCTTCTTGTATTCTAACTTTTTTCAGACGAACGTAAATTAATTATTAATGTTAATCGATTTTTTTATTTAATCAGCATTGATATTATCGAATTTCTCGAAGAAAAGAATTCAATATAGAAAAGTCCAAAGCTAACGAAATCAATTTGGGACAACGTATTAAACAAGTATACGTATATATCTACGTAAAATAGAAGTATATTATGTGATGTGTAATAAAAGATAGAGTCAGGACACGAAAGCTTAAATGTGATAAAATCGAAGATTTCGAAGGACGAAAATAAAGAAATAGAAGCTATCTATCACGAACAATCTCACAAAACTCCATCATTCCAAGAGACGTTATGATTACATTGATTAATTCATCGTAACAAAAAGATTCGAGGAAGACATAGATACGAATATAATAGATACATATCGAAATATAACACAAACCAACGTTGATGTATCGATAACAAATTGCTTCGTGGTTACCGAGTATCGTGAAAATTGCCTACAACTAGTCAAATACTAAATAATTGAGAAGGATCGATCGTGTTTGATTATTAGGTCTGAAATACCACCGCCATCAATAATAGTGTATTAAAGTTCAATTAAGTTACTTTTATTTTGTTTCCTTTTTTTTTTTATCCCTATCTTAGAGGTCAATCGCCGAAGGATGCCCTTTAAAGGAACAAGGATATCTCTCAAAGGATATCACGCTTGGTAATCGTGAAAATGTCAATTCTCTAGAGTGTCGTTAATGCGGATGTTCAATCGTGCAAAGTGATTATTACTTTTCTTTGAATGAAAACAGGTTTCTACGTGTAAATATGTATTTTAGTATATATATATATATGCATACGTACATATTAAATATTCTCAACGCAAGAGAAAATCCCTTTTGGTTGTATATTCCAGTTAGAATGTATAAATGAGTTAAGATTTAATTGAATTTACAATCATGAAAATATATCTGCTGATAGACCGGGAAACGAGAAAAATAAAAAAAATAAAAAAAATAAAAAAAATAAAAAAAGAAAACGAAATAAAAAGAAAGAAATAAAATTATGATTTGATTTCTACTCGATTGCCTCGGATCAGAAATGAATAAAAAGCAAAGGAAACAAAACAAAAAATAAAAAAAAACAAAAAAAAAATAAAGAAATAAAGAAATAGAACAAATATTGTCTTGTGATCCATCGATTAATCGATTCGAATTTTAAGGATTTCTCGTATAATTACCACGAATTATATATAAAATATGATAAACCATGGTAAATAAGGCGTGGCATCTTTATCTCGAAAATAAGGCGTGTACCGTGTATCTTTGTGTTTGCAATTGGTAACAAACGATGTCGGATCCTCGATAGAAAAAACATCTACATAATAATACCGCACCCTTCCTCTGAATTAGAGTTTTCGTGCCACTCTTTTCATCGTCGAGAACGACACAGTTCTATAAATCATATTCTACAAAATCTATACATACAGATATATAGATATATTCAAAGACAATAACGATAAGTCGGCTTTAGGCTTGATCCAACGGGAATTTCAATTCGAATCGAAGGTATTAAAAATAACCAAAACTATATATATATATATATATATATATATCAATTTTTTTTCGATTAGATACAGATATAACTCGCAACAATGAATTCATATAAGTTTAGATTCCTATTATTCATTCATTCAAATCCTTGCGTGATCGTTCTCGTTATTTTGAATATACTTTGCGCCCCAATCGTAAGGTAAGGCCTTTATCAAGTATATTTGGGGTGAGAGTACTCTGTCGTGTCTCTGGCCACTCCCTCAAAAAAATAACATGATTAAACGCACTTCGTATATCTTTCCATTACTTCCCCTATCTACTATCACAACACTATTATTCACCTCTGTTTCCCTTTTTTTTCTGTTTCTGTCCTTCATCGTCGACAAGACTAATGAAAAGTGATTGTCATTCAACTAGGTGAGGCATCATATAAACAGATAATGTTCGGTTAGAATCGTATTCATAAATTGACCATCGATCCTTGAAAAATAACGATGGTCAACGTAGATATATATATATATATATGTGTATATATATATATATATATACACACACATATATACACATATATATATATACCTTTAGCTTGATCAACGAGTTTGGCACCGAAAAAAGTACTGGATTTCAGTTATTCCGGAAATTAAGAACGAACATTCGATGGTATCTAATCGGTCGAAAATCGATCTATAAAAGTTCCATTGAAACAAATGATATAAATAATAATAAAAAAAAAAAAAAAAAAAATAGGAGGATTCTGTTTATTCCTATTATGCAATGGACGTTACGTTGTTCCAACCTATTAAATAGATTGCAACGAATTCCATTGCATCTTTTAACCCTCTTATACGATCCTACCGAGTTAGTAGAACACAGTTGGCACGTCCGAGAGAGTGACTTTCTAATTGCCAGAAGAGTGACGAGAATGTATATAAAGTACCGGCGAAACAGGTTGCACCTAGATATATATATATATATGTATATGTAAGTATGTACATATTCGAATCGCGTGGACTTCATAGCGGTCAACCAAACGGGCTATAATTTATTTCTGTAAACACCGAAAGTCGTCAAAATGCCAGCCGTTCATACAATGTCATTTGCTTTCATATTTATAGTTTACATACGTACATACGTAAAATTACGGATACATCTGTAAGAGAGGATTACGAAGATTCGATAATCTCTGGCGATCTTTCGTTCCTTTGATGATGTGACTCGAGAATGAAGAGTTAAGGAAATTCCGGTTAATATAATCTATTTGTTTTGGCAGCCAATTATTTACGATATACACGTAGTACGTTGATCGTGTTGTAAGTCCTATCAACAATAGGACTTCGTGTATTTGACCGACTTTCACTTTCAGCATTAAAAGCTTTTTAGTTTCCTTGACGGTTCTAGGACATCATACAGAAGTCATATAGACGAGTTCATTATTTTGATTTTGATATTACATTGACTTCGAGATATTTTCATTGTCTAATTTAATTTAATCATAAAACTAGAAATTAATGGTAAGACGTAATCCAAAGGTTCTTTATCAACGGAGAACAATGAGAAGGTACGAGATGTCGATTTGGTAAAAAAAAATCAGCTCTCTCTTTCTCTCTCTTTTTATGCTAGGCCAGCGGGAACTTACGAAAAGGATTTTCGGACTCCCGTCTTTCAGACTGTTCCCATTCTTTGTAAAAATAACCCGTACGAATTGGGTCAGACGGAATGAAAAGCTGGCCGGTGCTCGGTGAGTGATATATAATCGCACGCACCTTGAAAAATCCTCGTACGATGTGTTACTCGATCTCGCTATTAAAACTATAAATAAAGCAAAAGGAGTGTAACGAAACAAAGATTCGTCGAACGCGTTCATTCGCGTCCGAATAACATACGTAGTATGTCGTCCAACGATATTTTTAGTGTAAACTTTCTGGGGACGACTTTTTGCTTCTCTCAAAAATCAACACATCGTATAAAAGTGTGTATACGTACACATACACACACACACACGTGCGCGCGAACTTTATGTACGTATTATTTTTATTTTTCTCAGACATGAAAATTTTCACACTGAAAGCAATGATGATAAAAATCTCATGCGACATTTCGCGTTAAAACGTGCTAGTAAAAGAGTGAAGTAGTAATAATAAAAATGTCTTGAACTCGTCACGGAAGTTAATTTCACGTGAGAGAAAATCATAACCGTGAAAAGAGGACATGCGATAGAACGGATCACGTAAAGCTTCCGGATTTAACGTGCCTAACACACACTGCTATCGATTATATACTTTAGTTTAAAATATAAAAGCAAGACCTTCTGTGAGACATACAGTATATACACACACGGAGATGTGTTACATATATATATAGCAGAGAGGAGACAGATGAGGGTTCTCGTGAATGAAGTAAAAGTCAGCCGGACATATCGACTTTTCTCCCTGGTTTTACATTTATGTCTCTATATTTATGTACACTTAACTTTCATCTATATGCATAATATACACACTTATGTATGTACATACCTGTATATGTATGGGAATAATAAAACGTGTCGCGTTCGCACGTGCTCGATCACGTTCAAACATCACGACATACCGTTTTAAGGGAACTCTCAAAAGACACTTTGGAGGGCTAGGGCTTGTTCGAGGTAGGGATCGATGCATTATGCAACAAGTAGTTAGTCTTAAGTGCAATCGCCGTTATACTTTCTCGACCTCGAGGTTCGGCATATAGCGATTACATGGGTGTCGTTCTAATTAAGGATCAAAAATTCCAGATAAGTCGTTAGCATCGTGCTCAACAGCTGATTCTTCCACTATCGTTTCGTAAATCTAATTCCAGGATAACGAATTGATTATCACGATATTTTGAATATATATATATATATATATATATATATATATACATACGTATCCGAAAGAGCATTCCATTGATTTGATACAAATTAATCCAAAAAAATATATAATTATGATTCTTCTATGATCACTTTGTCAACTGATCGTCCTATGCTTGATCGATCTTGAATGAAATATTATGTCAACATTGTTGAACATATACGAAATAAAAATGTTAATGTGCAAATCATAAGTGATATATGCAATAAATGTACATGTACATCAAAAGTTTTCCATGATATAATATCGCAAATCTCGTTGCTATTTTCATTCCTTACATAATTTAAGACACCACGATGCCGTGGTACGTCGATCTCTAGACATGGTAAACTCAGCAGTATATCCTTGGTGCTCTCTCTCTCTCTCTCTCTCTCTCTTTCTCTCTCTTTCTCTCTCTCTCTCTCTCTCTCTCTCTTTTTCCCTCCCTCTCTCTCCCCCTTCTCTCTTCCTCTTTCGCTCTTCGCTCTTCGATGTTAAATACAAATGATGAAAGTAGAGACTCTATACGTATAAATAAATATAAAGGTCATGAAAGTAAACTCGGCAAATGATCCTTGAGAGAAAGAAATAAACTTTCACATAAAGATATTTTTTTTCTCGTCGACAATAGTGACTAGATTAGTTATATTCTGTCTTTATTGTACTCTGCGATTTTCTCGTAAAATCAATTTATAATATCGATCAATATGTTAAATCTTGAACTAGTTTTTAAATAATCTCCCTTGTAACGCGAAATAACTTACAATTAGGTTTAATCGAGAGGTTAATAAGGTTCCGTCTATAACGTAATACTGGTAGGAAGTCGAGTCTATTATGACAGAGAAGCACGTGCTGCTCGAAAACTGATCAAGATTTTTTTTATAGAAATGAAATTCACTAGTTGCTTTCGCACTTCGTACTACGATTACTATGATTAACACGTATCTTGCGAAAATATTGTAATAAATTCGTAGGAACAAAATATCGGTTTTTCTTTAAAAAAAAAAAAAAAAAAAAAAAAAAAAAACGAATAGAACAGAAAAGGCAAACAAAAAACAGAGAACAAAAACACGGTATTCCATGTGATTTCATTACATAAGTTGTCACGATATAAATGTCTCATGGTTTTTCTTTGGAATATTTTGATTTTTAAAAAATGTTTTTTTTATAACGAAATGTTCGACCTAACCTCAAATCCTCTCCCTCCTCCCTCTCCTTTTTCACTATCACACTCTTTCTATCTCTCTCTTTCTCTCTCACTCTCTCTCTGTTTTTCTTTTTCTCTTGTTTTCTTGTTCTATCGTGAAAGAAGAGAAATAAGTGTGAGAATTATCGATATAAACAAAGAAATATAGAACTCACCAATATGGAGCTGTGCGTTCCGAGATGACTATACTATCATAGGCATGTCGCCAGCTCGTCAGCATTTCACAGATAGTAAGAGATTAAAAAATGTGGAATAAAAGGATCCTAAGGAAAATGCGCGCACGCACACTGTTGCACGCACGCTACTAACCAGCGAGTGAGCAAGTGAAAACATACACAATGTCGCAGCCCGCGCGTGCTTACGAACGCTCGCAATCGCCGCGCAAAACTGTCTCTTGCCCCAACACGTCTCTCCCCCCTCTCCAACCACTAGCCGTGCGCATCGGACAGGTAAGACCGGTGCTCGAGGAGAGGGAATAACATCGAAGAGTTTGAGGGTAGGGACGAAGAATACGAGAACTTGTGATGACGTTACTTATACTAACATTCGTTAGTCTCTTTTTTGTCTTTTGTTTGTTTCTTTCTTTTTTTCTTTTTCTTTTCTTTTTTTTGTTGTTTTTTTTTCTTCAAAGCCTATAATTATTTTCATAAAAATTTGCATTAACCATAAACTTCATTCATTTTTACAAATGGATACTATACCTTACACAGCTGCCATTCATATTCATCTCGTATTTAAACTCGGCTACTCTCTGCTATACCCTTTGTAAAATAAACATTCTCCGCATTTGCTCTGTAGACGTTCACTGCATGTATTATTTATTATTAAAAACGGCTTGGCTATATGGCGCGAAACGACGCCATCTTCGTAATCCAAATACATCCTACTTCAGATCGAAGAGCAGTATGAACAACGGCCGTTAATAGATGGCGGCACCTAACAAAAAAAAAATGAAATTATTTTTTCAACAGTTTAATCGTTGGTGTAGCAACTGACGATTCCCTTCGTCTGAACAGTGATTATTTTCCGAAGAATTAATAATTATTATTTTTATATATATTAGCGATTAAAATTTATTCCGAGATATTTTTCTACTTGTATATGTGTGTGTGCGTATGCGAACGTGTCCTAACGATTGTTAGAACTACAAAGTTTATAAACGAAACGTAAACTTTAACATATTTGTTAATATTCTTTGTACATTCTTCAATGAATTAATCGTGTACGAAAAGAAAAGTCGTGCTTTTTTAACCGGCAGGAACATCACAGCAAATAAACAAAATGTCAATCTGTATTTAAAAATGGCCGCAGACCGGACTGCTGTTAGATCAGTGTTCTAAAGTCGCAGCCAATGTACTGCTGATCATTGCAACGAATGCGTCAATGGCCTAACTTTATTTATAGTAATCAATTCTTTTTATTAGCCTGCCAACTACTTTGACGTAAGACATTCTTGGATGTAGTTACATATTTTCAAAGTGGTCAATCTATCGCTCGAAACATTCCTTTCTTCAGTTGTAAATTCGTTTCACTCTTCAGTGTATGTGGACATTTTCTTTATAGCCACACTTAAGAAAATAATACGATGTAAGTTGCATTTATATTATGGACCGCTGGTGTACGATACTTCAATAAAAATTGTGTTTTAAAGTATATGAGCGATTGTACGAAGACATACAAAACGAAGATATGTCGTCAGGCATGAACGATGGTCCCCGTAACACAGGCACTCTTCCAAAAAGTAACAGAAGAAGCGACAGAAACAGAGAACGATCCGCCGCTAATCAACAAATGGCTAATCGTTCTGCTTATCACAGACATGTACAACAGCATTCTAACAATTTGGTATTAATCTATATACTATCTATAGTTAATAAATTTTATTTAATATATTCTTATAGTTTCATTGCATATATAATGAAAAAGTTAGAGAACAACTATATATAGCTTTCTTGATATTAACTATAAGTATACTGGCCATGTAAGAATCAATAAAAGAATATAGTAGAAGCTGTTTTTTCTAATATTGGAATGTAACCAATAGAAGACTATGTTTCTGCTTATTTTATGCCAGCCATACTTTACTATTTAGGATGTAGTCTATTAATATACTGTTGAGTAGTGGGGTGATACTTGTTCTAAGAATACAATATGTGGAAAGCTGTTACTTTAGCGTGGTTGAGTCGTCTGTACTGAGCTGTCCTAGACTTCGTGTAAATTGTAATAGTTCAATTAGATTTGGATATTTAAAACTAGAATTTAACTTGATTGTTAGTTCCAGCTTGATTGGCAACTTGTAAGTGAAAGAGGACCTTTAAGAACGACAAAAAATAGCAATACCAGATCAGTTTCATCACTTCCTTCTACGTCTTATCAGGAAATATCCGAATTTGGTAGGTGTCCAGAATTTTCTAGAAAATAATTATTCTAACGAGTTTTATCACTATGTTATATAATATTTTTTAATACAGTATCACATAGTGGTGGACGACATTGCAATTATTCGACTGAGGATTGTACATCTTGGCCAAAAATGGTATTACCAACGGAGTCTCAGGCACAATCACCCTCATGTTTGCAGGGAAGTAAACCAACCAATGTTGATAAAATGGTAATAAGAATTTCATTTTGTTATATATGAACTTTACATAATAATGAACTTTATAAATCTATTAAGAAACAAATTTTTTACTAAAAAATTAAATATCTTTTTAGCCTGATAGAAATCAAGTGGAAAGTCGTTTAAATCAAATTCGTGATTATATTGGAATTACTTCAACGATGATGGACTCACTTAGTCAATCTAGTGATCCAGTAAGTATAACGTATTTCTAACTATTGAAAGCATGCTATATTTTTTCTTTTTTACTCAAACATTTCTCCATGTTCATTGTCTACTATAAATCTACTGTAGCGAGCTCAAACCCAGAATGAAAAATTAAGCAGAATGGTGGAGGACCTTCGTGACAGTGAAACAAAATTGGCGAAACTTTTGGAAACATATCACAATCATGGGATTACAAATCAGGTTATTGGCACAAAACTGTAACATGACTTTAAATAACTAATATCAGTGGCATGCTCTTCTCATTTAGTAATAATATGAACCGCAAAAGCAATTGAAAGAATATTTTTTATTTTAATATTTATATATATGTATATATAGAGAGAGAGATTCTACTTCTTATTTCTTATATACAATCTCCGCCTCAATTTATTATCTAATTGACAATTTATTATCTATTGACAATCGGTTAAATAAAATATTTTAATCCAGATTATACGTACATTCAAAACTTATACTATTATAAACTTGAATTTGTTTCAAAAAAATATGTTTGGTTCAATTTTCTTGTTTTATTATTTCAGGAATATTTGACATATATATATAACTTTATAAATATCAAACTTAATTTCTATATTTTTAGATTATGAATAGAAAATTTATATGACTAAGATCTTGGATATACGTGTTCCTTCTTCTTAATTTTTGAAATGTTCGAGAGTACCGGGCACCACTCATGTAGCTTTTGTGTCGTCGATTAGTGATATTATTCCCCTTATACTATGGATCTTCTATTTAATTTCTTATGTCATTAAATTCACGTTATTTACTTCTTCTCATGTTGCTGCGCGATTTCTAAGCGTGACGATTCTTGCCTCTATCCCGTAATCTGCTTCTAGATTGTAGGATTCGTGAAAAGAGTTGGGCCCTTGAGTGGTCTGGATTGGGGCTTTTCACTTTCGGAGCAACTGTTCTGGAATACTCCAGAATGCTCCACAAAAATGTCTATATACAACATTAGGAATGGAGGTGCTCGTCCCTTCACTTGGCCATCATGCAGCAACAAATTCTCAAATATCTATATGGCTATTATTAATCATAATTTTGTATTATTTTATCACAGAATGGCGATAGTGGAAAAGAGGATGGGGACGAAAATACTGATACCAGTAGAGAAATGATATTACGTAGAAAAATGGAGGAATCTCAAAGAAAACTTGTACAATTGCAGGAATATCATGCAAATTTAGTTGGAATGCAACATCGTGTTAGGGAAAGATTAAATGAAGCTCGACAAGCCCAACAAGTTTTATTGCAACAAGAAAATCAAGCTGCTGGAACTTCTTCATGGGAAGGCAATAATCGTTTGGTTGCACCATTACCAACAAATGTTGAAGAATTACAATCAGAAACAGCTGCATTAAGAGGTAAACTTACTCAGTTACAGAGCAAGAAAAAGCATATGGACCATCTTTTAGCTGAATTACAAGTTGTGGAAATGTCAGACAGAGCCAGTTGTGTTAGTATGTTTTAGTATGTGATTTTATTTTGATAAAAAAAAAGTTTTATCCTATTATAATTTTTTTTCTTTATATTTAGAGCTCTGATGGCTCTAGGAATGTGACTAGAGATAAAGCAGCAGAATTGGAAGCTATGAAAGCACAACTCAATCACTTAAAAGCTTTAATGGAAGAAGCTACAAGAGTCAGAGAATGTCTAGATTCTACATCAGAGCCTGAACCTGATGTGGATGTTAATGGTGAAGCAGCAGAAGAAAATGAATCCCAGGAAGAAGGTGCTAGTTTATGTAGCTCGAGTAATGCATTGGAAAATCAAATTGATAATGACGATGTAAATCGTGAAAAAACTAGGAATTCTAGACACAGACCTACTGTTGAAGAAGTTCAGGTATGAACATAATAAGTGATTCATTGATAAAGTATCATATTAAACAAAATTATATGTTTTATTATTTATTTACTAGGCTGTTACAAGAGAATTGAAAGAACAATCTGCATTATTGCAAGCAACTCGAGCGGAGTTACAGCGTTTAAAACAACCATTAGTAACTTCTACTATTCATTCCCCACCAGTATCTATTTTTCCTGGATCCACACCACCTCCTTCATTGATAGGAGTTAATATTGAAAAAAAGCAAAGCAATAATGTTAGTGATATTCAACCAGTTCAAACAAAAAGACGCCAGATAGAAGATTTTGTCAAAAAAGTAATCTACCTATTTTTTATATTGTTATATTATTAATCATAACTATACGTATCTGACTTTAATGTCGTCACTAATTTTTTTAAATTAATTTTATTATGTATTGAAATATAGGATCAAGGTCAAACATCTAGTATTAATCGCAATGTTGGTAATACAGATCTGAATAGTCACAGAAGTTCTAGTTCACGTATTAGTCATACAGGTACACCTACAAATGTGTGGCCTCCAATTGCTACTGCAGGCAAGTATGAAATATCTTAAAAATCGAATATTAGTTTTTATTTAATTTAATATCTATATAGGTGGCTCTGGTGAACAAAATATAGATGAAATGTTAGACAATTTGATGGATATAGGTCCTCAAACAACAGCTATCGAAAATGGATTTACAGGAAATTATTGGGGATATCCACCACTACCTATGAATCAATCACAACATGGTAATATAACGAAGATTTTTATTAATCATTTTAATATCAAATGAAATATTTAATTAATAATTATTAAGTCATTGATACCTATTATTTTAACATAGGTTCTGCGGAGTATTATCACAATTTGTTATTAAATTCTCAAGTGCAGCAACTCCAAGTACAGCAACTTCAAGTAATGGGTACAACTATACAACAATGCTGTCAATTATTGTGGGTACAACAACGGGAATTGCAATCTATGCGTACAGCAATTACTCAACTGCAATTACAGTTAAGACAATCTCAAGCAGTACAAAGAAGCAATAATTCCGAAAATCAGGAAGAATATTCTAATCTAAGTCGCAGTGTGCATCATCTTGCTGATACATTAGATGCAGCATTACCTCCAAGTTCTTCTTTACCAAATCTTGTTTCATTACCTAATACTTCTCCTGCACTTTCTCATTCAGTAGTAGGTACTAATTCTCAACAACATCAACAACAACAATTGAACAATCAAGTACCACCTGGAAATAGAGCAAACAACTACTGGGATAACTTTCGAAGGTAATCAAAGCCTTATATACATAAATTTAGCAGAAAAAATATAAATTATAGGATTATAAAAAAAAAAGAAAAAATTATTCAAATTTTTTAGAACTATATTTATTGAGATTTATATACGTATATATGGTGTAACAAATGACTAATTGTAAGACCTTATTAACGTTTGAGTAAAATTTTACATGATTTTGAATCATTATAAAAAATATCCATCAAAGTATATGTTATTTCTAACAGAAATTTATCAACACCATTGAGTTAGTACCTCCTCACTGACAAGGTTGCACATTATCATCTTTTGTGTTTCTTTATATCTAATGTATTATCATATTTAATAATAAATTCCACGATCTATACTTTTTACTTATTACTCTCCCCTTTTACTTATTATTGAAACCATTTGCACCAAGTATTTGTCATTTGTTTAGTTACAAGCACTGTGGTTAATGACCACAATACTAATTAGTATTGTGGAAAATACATTTTTTAGGAAAATACGTTGGTAGGTAATACAAGGGTATGTAATTGAATTGCCAACGAATTTTTCATAAAATAGGATGTTCCATCAGTTTAATTATAACCATTAATAATGTGCATGTAATTAAAATTATAATCATAATAAATTTTTGTGATGGTGACCATTATACTAAACAGGAGTGTGTTGTAATTCTGATGAAAACTAGATTTGTTATAACTACTGAGTTTTTTAGCATTATAAACATGCTTTTAAAAAAAATAATAATTGTACTTATACTGCATTTTCAATTTTTTCAGTTACTCGAGACAAAACTTACTGTCTGGAAGTGCGAAAACAGTAACTGATTCTACTACAGCATCCATTTCAAATTCTACTACTTCTGCAAATAGTGCAAGTAGTGCAGTTCACACTTCTCTTGGGTACGTAATTATATTGTAATAAGTAATAAATATATATGCCTTTTTTTGAATTAATCTATAATATCTTTTTGTTTTCAGGAAGGATAAACGAAATCGCGAACAGGGAACAGATAATTTACCTTTACCATCATTAATGATAGCAGAAACACAGTATTCGTTAAATCTCCAACAACAATCTAATTTACAGCAACAAGAAAGAGAAAATACTACAATGAGAAGTAATATCATAACAAATGAAGTATCACAAGTTGACAATTCGGGAGAAGAAGCCCATAGCTCATTTAGACTCCCACATGCAACTAATGATGAAAATTTTTTACATAATTTAAGGTAAGCTATAATTAAATAATTATAAAAAATGTTTATAAATTGATAAAATTTTAACAAGTTTGTCATATGTGTCTAAACAGTCCTGAAATGAGAGAAGTAATTAGGTCACTCGTTGTAGCTAATAAGAAGAGACCTGACAATTTAGTAACGATTTTAAAAGAGATTACGGCTATAAGCGAAGACAAAAGACTTCCTCTTTTACTGATAAGTCTCCGTTTCTTGCAAGATACACAACCACTACAGAATGCTCAGGTATAAATATCTTTTTATATTTGCATAATTTTAATATTATAAAATATCTATTTTTTTTTTGTCTACATTTTTTATTTTATTCAAACTCTTTCCCGTTGAAGTTCAAAGTATATTCAGTATAATATAAATAAAAGATAAGTTACGGACTAAAGTTTCCAGTAATAATCCAAATAATCCTATGGATTAAGGTTTTCAAGTTATAATTAATTGAACGTACGTCACTCGTTGTGTGAACAAAAATAATTCGAAACGAAAGAATATCTGCGCCGACAACTGTTACGATGGGAAAGAGTTAAATTAATTAAGATTCATTAAAAATTAATTAATTAACATATGTAAACAGAATGAAGCAGCTGATCAAACAGGGAGTGATAGTTGTCGATCAAGTGACGAAGATTCAGACGTCGGTGCTATATTAGGTTTTAATTTGGAAAATCAGTGTTCATTAAATGAGTTAGTTGCATCAACTCATGCTGGTTCTTCATCATCTCCTATGGCACAAGTTCCATTAATAGATCGCTTAGAAATACTTGTAAGTAGCTATTAAAACATATCTAAAAAAAAGTTTGTTTTTATTTCATGCAAAATATAAGAATTTAATGTAGTCTGTGTTTAGATATAAAAAATAATGTTATGTATACTTATTCATTATGTTTAGACATCGAGTTCTCCTGACAACGACAATGCTTCTGCTTCAGCATCTGCTCTTAAACCAGGTTGCAATGAAGATTTAGCAGAAGCTGATCAATCAAGATCTGAATCTTCTGGCAATCAACAAGTAAATTATTGTTACATTAATACAAAAGAATTTTTATATGAAATATTTAATTTTAAATGTTTCTCATAGATTCATCACAATGAAGAAAATAATGAACAAATGCAAGACGATGTGACATTATCGTTAGGAGCAGCCTTAGGGACTTTAGAAAGTGCCCTAGTAGAAAGTGATGAAGATGAAACAACTGCAAAAGATGAACATGACAGAGGCAAATTAACTACTAGACGATACCGTCAGTGTTATTAATCAGTGACTGTATAATAAGTATTTATTTCATTATATTTACTATTGCAGAGTTTTATGAACTTTCAAAAGCTGCATAATATATAAAAGCTTCAATATTAATTAAAATACTGTGTATGTATTTTATTTTTTATATAAATATCAATATTTATGGAAAATAAATTACATACACATATTTAAGCAATTGAAAGCCAATCTAATTAATGAGGTAAATTTTTTGGTAATGTTTAAGCAGTGAAAGTTGTCTTTATATTTAATACTTCATGTTCAGTATGCATTCAAGGATGTATACTACAGGATATATTTAACAAAAAAATAAACTTTTATCTATCAAAAAGTAAATATTTATTTTGATCCACACGAACAGAGCAATGACATATTGGGGAGAGGATATAAATATGTAACAAAGAATATGGTCTTCAATACAAATGTAATGTGAAAAGATATGAAAAACGGTTTAAGTTAAAGAACCTAATTAAAATTCCGTTTCAATATCATGTTTTGCAAATTGTTGTTGTCTATAATGATGATATATGGAGCATCCATGAGTCTCGAACAATAATTCCCCAAGTTCCACACTGCTGTCACTCGACTTAGAATCATTGCTTGGTGATAAATGTCTATAATCTGCATTACATATTAAACTATGATTACCTGCTGCCCTGCAGCAGCTTTCAGTCATAACCAAGGAATGATCCAAGGTTTTATCGTTGATAGAATTTAAGCATAATGACGTTGACTCATAATGCATTGTGGCCAATCCATAGTTCTTTGCATTCCCTGTACCATAGTAAACGCAGCTGCCTCTGAAACGAAACCCACTAACTTATCAACTAATTTGATTAGTAATCTCCTATGCCATCCATTGCATCGGTAGATTGTATCCTTACCAGTACAAAAAGACCAAACATATTAATAGTTTCACAAGGTTATGAAAAAATTTTGCATCTATCTTTTCCACCACATACCATTTACCCACTGTAAAGTAGAAGGCAGGATGCAACAGGCTTTAAAATAAATTCAATGTCTGGGTCAACTGCAAATATCTGTAGTCAGATGTAAATACAGTAGCCCGTAAATGAAAGCTAATTTGATATTTTCCTTTCCAAGGTAATATGTAAACGGTAAATGTTAAAAATTTTATTGTGAAAATTAAGTGCATAGCATTTGGTACACATTCATCTATCTTATGTATACGTGTATACATAGGTAACTTTAAGTGCAAATAATTTTAAAATGTGCAAAAATGTATAGTATAATGAAATTTTTACGACATACAGTGACTAAAATATAATAGCAAGCGTTTGAATAAGCTTGCAAAATATTTCAATTACATTGAATAATAAATATTAATGTTTTCAAACAAAGTTCCTCCGTTTAAATAATCTCCCGCGTCGAGAAAATAGATTCGAACAGAGACCTCTAACAAGGATTGTTTGAAATACGTATGAATACGAATTGGAACAAGACACCGCTACTATTTATTAACGAACGACTAATAATATACGCATGTTCTTCCTTACTATCACTTGATGTGTAAGCAGTTGTTAAAATTTAAAACGTACTCTCATTGCTCGAGATTCCCAAAAACATATAACTTTCCTACCTTTACGACATTTTTTCAATTCTATAGTTGAACCGCTATCGTTATTGGATCGTTTCCGGTTCCTGCGTCGCGTCGTGTCGGCGCCATGGACCGCCTGTTGTTGCTCCGTCGGTGATAAACAATGGTATTGCTGTCTATTGTCGACCTCGTGCCACCTCCTCAACGACGTCTCTGGAATCACGTAATGGTTATTCAGACGGCATGACGCCGCAGAATAGTCATATTCATCATCATCCGTTTCCATAGCTGAACCGTAATGGTTACTCGCGATACTAGGTGCACTGCTGTCGCTATTACACTCATTAATATGATCAAACATATTTTCTCTTGTACAGAGAGGTACGTAACCGTAATACGCGCTAGACGATACGTAAGACGCCATCCTCGTGTTATATAGAGCGTCGCTCGCAACCGCCATTTTTCATAAAATTGTTTTCAAAACAAATTGAAAGCTAAAGATAATATATTCGTACTACTGATCCTAGTACAACGCGGGAATGCTAATTTATGCGTATTTGTCGAAGAAATAAAAAAAACACCACACAACGATATTACTTCACAACACTCAACCGAGGAGGCGCGATGAATGAGGCTTGCGTCCAAAACCGAACATACTCGAAGTCCGTTCGATTCTATTCGGGCTTATTCGTTTTTAGTCGGTTAGTTTCACTTCATTTGTTTATCTCCCCTCACTTACAATGTAATTCTTTCGGCGACACAAATTTTCCAATCGCGAAAAAATTACATTAATAATTATTGTCATTTGTTTTCAGAATTATTATTATATATGTTTGTAATTTTTTCCAATTCAGAAAGAATCAGCCTTAAGTATATTATAATCTAAAGATTTTTCAAACTGAACTCGATTAAATTTTTAACAGCACTGTTACTTTGCACTTATTAGGCGACACCTATAGGTTTGGCAAAAATGATTACACTTTATTATTAGATCCAAGTTAAACATACTTTCTTTTATATATTGCATGAGTCAAACAACGTTATATCATTAAGAATAATTCATAATACTCATGTTAAATGAGTACTTTACCGTAATTTATTCTTTTAAAACAATAATCCTGTATAAATTTATATACTGAAACAGAAATCGAATAGAGAAAATTGTTTAGAATTTAATTCAAAGAATTTTAAACTACGAAAATATTTACTATTTTCAGGCATTACTATTGTATTACTTTGAATCGATTTTAACAAATAATAGTTTTATTCAGATTGAGCATATATTTAGTCCGTAGTTATGAAGGTTAATTCCTTTTTTTTTTGTTTCTTAAATTAAATTAAATTAAATTAAAGTAAACAAATAATGTTTACTTTAATGGAAGCAAATATGTAAAGATATAAATATACCTAGTATAACTATATAATAATTGAAAAGTGATTGGATCGATATTTTCGATAGAGTTAATTTATTGACAAATTAAATAATAGTTTTTTTTTTTTTTTTTATTATGTATTATAGAATTTATTTTAAAAAGAGTTTATGAATATTGCAATTCTTGAAGATAATTAAAGAAATGAAGATATTTTGTAACGAACATGTCGAGGTCGATAAGATAGAGTTAAAATAGCATAGGAAGTGATGTATACAGAAAAGAAGAAAACTGGATGTCCCTAGTGGACAATGCTTTAATCATTATTTTATTTTGACCTTCTGTTGGTCTCATGATGCGAACCTGAGTCAGTTAGAAAACGACTAATGATAAATAAAATATGTGTTTTGTTCCTCTAATATTTATAATTCCTTGTTACTTATTTTTTATACTTTTATTATATCTTTATCATATCATCGTTACAAAAAGGACTGTTAAAACAATTAATAATTTTGTTACTAATGGAAAATTCCACAATTTTATATTTACAGCTCCATCTGGTATCTATTGTTTAGGAATTATTCGTTACTAAATTGTCATAAGACTCCATCTTGTACTTGCGTATGTATAAACGAAAGAAATTTGATTTTTATTGTGATAGTAATTCGAAAGATATTTTTCTTTTAATATGTTTTCTAGAAATATAACACGATTATTATTTATACAGAAAGATCTCCTTAAGCGTAATGCACGTAATTTTTCAAGAATTTTAGATATCATTTTGGAGAAACCTGTGGGAAAGAGTACAAAAGTACAGGTTAGCTTCCCATTGTTATATGTTCTTAATCATTCTCTTGCATAATAGAATTCTGTTAATTACGAATTTTCGAAAATCGATCAGTCATCCTATATATTAAACGTTTTCCTTTAGATTATATTTAGTTTTTTTTTCTTTTTTTTTTCTTTTTTTTTTTAATCCATATTTAATATATTACTATTAGAAAGAATCTCTTAATAGTCAACAAATATAGCATTTTTATTCAGGGATGGGTATACGCGATCAGGAAAATGAAAAATTATATTTTCTTTGATGTTAATGATGGATCAACCAATGAAATGCTCCAGGTTGTTATACCTAAATCTTCTAAGCCAATTGATTTAACTTATGGTAGTAGTATTAATGCAGAAGGTATATTGACTTTAACACCTAATGGTAGATTGGAATTACAAGTAAATGAGACACACGTTATTGGTACATGTGATGTTACTAAAGGATATCCATTACAACCAAAGAAACCTTATGATGCAGAATATTTAAGACAATATTTACACTTAAGGCCAAGAGCACAGAAGTTCAGTAGTTTATTACGATTACGTGATATAGCTACTGCAAATATTAATAATCATTTTAGAAGTAGAAATTTTATACATATTCACACGCCAATAATAACTTCCAATGATTGTGAAGGTGCAGGTGAAGTTTTTATTGTAAGGCCTGATTGCAAAGTTCTTGAGAGTATGAAGAAAGATGGTATGTCATTAGATGAAATTTATTTCAATTCTAAAGTATATTTAACTGTATCTGGACAATTACAGTTAGAAGTTCTTGCAAGGTGATTAAAAATATATAAATGATGTATTATTATTACTTCCTGCATATAAAATTTTAGATATTTATAAATATTCAGGTATTTTTAGGACTCTTTCAAAAGTATATACTTTTGGACCTACATTTAGAGCTGAAAATTCAAAGTCAAGATTGCATTTATCAGAATTTTATATGGTAGAAGCTGAAAAAGCATTTGTTTCAAATATTGAAGAAATAGCAGAAGAAGTTGAACTTTTAGTGAAAACTGTAACTAAAGATATGCTTGATCATAATCCCCTTGATTTCCATCATATAGGTGCCACTGAACCACAGTGGTTAAATAGCAAATTTGGATACATGACTTATGATGAAGCAATAAATATTTTAAATGATCATGCAGTTGAATTACAGCATCCTATCAAATATGGAGATGTGTTATCCAAGAAACATGAACTTTTTTTAGTAAAATATAATAATAATGTTCCTCTTTTTGTTATAAACTGGCCAAAAGAGGATAAACCTTTTTATATGAAAGAATGTTCAAATGATTCTTCTAAGGTAAGATAATATAATGATACAGTAAGTAATATTTAATTATTAAGAAATGATAGACATACTTGTTTCTGGATTTATAAATTTGATTCAAAGGTTGCAGGACTGGATCTTTTAGTACCAATTGTTGGAGAATTAGTTGGAGGAAGCATTCGCGAAGATAATTATGAAAAGTTGAAGTTAAAATTACCTTCTAATCATAATTTATCATGGTATTTAGAATTACGTAAATACGGCAATGTATCTACTGGTGGTTTTGGGATGGGTTTTGAAAGATTTCTGCAATGTGTCTTGGGAATAACAAATATTAAGGATACAATTCCTTTTCCAAGATGGCCACATAATTGCAGTTTATGAATAAAAGTTGCAGGATTGTTGTTGGTTTACTTCTCACATAATAGGACTGCTTTCCATATAAGTGGAAAGCAATTTTAGATGCAAGAATTATAAGTAAAACAAAAATGATAAAAATACTTTAATGGATGAAAACGAATAATCGTATTAACGGACAACATTCAATGATGCATTACAAAAATGATAATTTTACATAATTTTTTTATTATCAATAATTTTATACAAAATCTTTATTTATTTTAGGTTCTCTCGTAAATCATTACCATATTAGTTTTTTTTTTCTTTTTTTTTTTTTTTCTTCAAACATCGTTAGTAAAATTTGTCGATAATACTCAATTTCTTTTGCAATATATGATATAACAAGTTTGAAATAAGTATTTCTAAACAGAAAAAAATCTAGGATGGAAAATGTGATGAGATTTAACAAGTCATCTTTATTTTTAAAAAATTCTTTATTGAATATTGAGATAGATTTTCAACTAAGTTAGACTAATTTTTTAGCATTTTTTTTTTTTTTATTTCTCCAAGTACTCCTAGATATGGCTAAAAATCCAAATCACTAATTAATTACGCTGCAACTGTTATCATTATAAAGGATATTATAGAGGTTACTATAGGATAATAAGTAACGAAAGAGGAAGTCAAAACCCGAATAATCAACAAGTCTTCTTTTATACAACAAAATAATGACTCTAGTACTAATTTTTGTGTCTTACCTAATCTCATCGTGATCATATCATTGTTGAAAGTATGTACAATGCAACAGACAATCACATATCACACAATTTGTACATTTTTAACAATTGATTCGGGCAAATTCGATTCTTTATAAATAATCCTGTTAGGTGCAATGATTTTTGTGTATAGTTCCACGAAGCACCTCTTAAACGAACAGTAATTTTATAAATTAACCTATGCAGAATTAGTAGTTTACAAAGTACAAACGGTACGAAATTCTCAATAAGTCTTGTGCAGACCATCGTAAATCTTCATGACATTTCTAACTTTGTTGACATGTCACGAATTGTGATTGCACTCAATACTATTAGGAATGCTACATCACCTTATTACTTCACTTCAATCATTTCACTTGCATCATACACATGCAACTTTTCTTTCACACTACATATAACGGCAAATATTCATACATACATTCACACTTGCACATATTACAAAGTATTCTTAACTCTTACGACGTGATGTTTTTTACTTCGTAGTCGACAGTGATAAATGAAATATTATCGTGTATCATGATACACGTATTAAAATTTTTACCTAAAATTTTGAAATGAAGGAAAAAAAAAAAGAAAAATATATAAATAACAATGTCAAGGTATGGCTATTATTGTACGCACGATATCAAAATATTTAAATAAACATTTCACATCATGTCGTACGAGCCGCACAAAAGGTGATATACAATATACGAACTTAATGTAAAAAGGTGTTATGAATAAATCAAACTCCTTCGCGAACACATACTTCACACAAACCACTAGGGTGTCCACAGATTCGCGTAAAATATTTTACAGTTACTATTTACATTATTGAACAGAGTCCAGATAATTCTTGTCCCTTTTCTACGGGAGGTAAGGTAGATAATTTTCTACCTAGCAAAGTGGGTTTGATAGAAGCAGGCACTAAAGGCTCTGTATGTTCTTCAATTTGTGGCTCTACAATTTGTTTCTCCTTTGGTTCTTCAGGTTCCTTGCTAGTATTCAAGGGCTTCGTAATATTAATTTTAATACGGGATGGGGCTGTTGGTAATGTCGCTGGGGTAGAATCCAATTCCACATTTCCATCAATAGAACTTTTCACAGCTGCATATGTTGTATCTACTGTTGCGTGCTCACTTACTATACTCTCTTCTGGATCTAGTAAAACAATCTCGTTAAAGACTCGATAAAAATAATAAATACAAATTTCATTAAAAAAAAAACTAATGTTTTTAGCTAAAGTACCATTTTTAGAAACAATCAAGTACAATCTATATACAAATTTAAATCCTATTTTTTTTTATGTATGGTAAATGAATTGATAATCCTTTCGATATTAAATAATACGTACCTGGCTCAGGTTCTGTAGGTTCTTCTTTAATATCTACATTAGTAAAGTCAAATTGTTCTTCTATTTGTTCCTCGATTTCATCTAAAGGTTCTTCTTTGATTTTTATATTTTCGAACGAATTACTTTCGACTACTTCACTTTGAGATTTTTCTTCGTCCGTTCGTAAATGTATATCTATTTTTTCTAATTCTTCTATGTTTAATTTGTCATTGTCTGTATTTTCGATCTTTTCATCTTCTATTTTTTCATCTTGCTGTTGATTTTCTATATTTTCTAAACTCAGGTGATCTTCTGAATCTTCAATTTCAGGAGTTTTTTGTTCTTCTGTAAGCACTATATCCTCTCGTTCAGCAATCGATTGTTCAACAATGTCACTTTCTACTTTTGAATCTTGAATTTTAATTTCTTCTACAATAGATTCTTCTATACCACTTTTCTTTTCATCTTCCATTTCTCCGATCGTTTCCTCAAGTGCCAAAGCAGTTTTTTCCAGAGCTCTCTAAAGTTATGAAACAATAAGAAGTGGTTTATTATATGAATTATTAAGTATACCCTTTAATTAGAAAAGTCCAGAGTAAAAACATAAAATTTATATATAATACTTATATAAATTTTAATATATAATAAAAATATCCTGTAATATATATAAGAAGTGTAGTGCTTTACCTTTGATCTAAAAAGTACCTGCATTTATTATATACATCACATGTATACCATATATATAATAATTAAACGATAATAGTTTTTATTGCTGTTAAAAGATGGACATATATATTTACAGGCTTAATTAAAAGTTAAAAAATAAGTAAAAATATAATAACTTTAATCGATTATAAAATATAACAATAAGATATACGAAAGTAAAGAATTTAAAAAAATCACGTTCATTACAGAAACATAGTAAACAGAAAAAAAATGTTTGATATATACTGTTCTATATTTTCATCTATATTTTCGGCAGTGCATTTTGTATCAAATAAAAGTGTTCTGCACTTCATATATGCATAAAGTGAACACGAAGTGGGAAACGTAAAGAAAAGAAAAGATGCTTTTTACTATCACAAGTTTAGGCGTACAAATTGTTCATTCTAGTTCTACGAATGTTTAAACACTTGAGGAAGTGCAATATATGAATATTAATTAAGAAGCACATACCACAAGACTTTTTTCCTATTTTCGTACGAATGCAACAAACAGAAAATTTATTAATAAAATTACATCAATATAATCATCGTCTTCAGACACGTAAAACTGAAAATTATAATATATAGAATAATGCAAATAGAAAAAGAGAAATTTACCTTATAATCTTCAAGACATAGTGGATGGAAGTTTTTCCCTTCATAACTAATTGCTGGCCTTAAATGCCATTCTTCCTTTTCCTCATTGTAAAATTGTTCAAAAGCATCATGACACACTTGACATCTCGAATCTTCATCAGAGCCAGTAGGAACACTTGGTTGTTGTGTTTCTTGTGGCGTATCCTCAGTGGCAATACCTTCTATTTCAGCTGTTTGTTTTTCTGTTTCAAACCAACTTTGAGCTAAAAGTGAGATAAAAATTAATTGATTAAATTAATGCCAAGGCCGCGTGTCAATTAAATCAAAAAATATATATATATATAAGTATATACCTCTATCTTCAAGATCTTCGATTTCCTCGAATTGTATCCAATCGCTAACGTCATAATACCATGGTCGAGAATGTGCTTTCCTTGCAGAATCTCGTTCACGTCTGTTTTGTCTAAAATGCCAATCTAAATGATGACTATATCGCGTTGCTAATTCAGGTGCAAATCTTGCACCGCACGAACTACATTGCATTCCACTGTACAAAGCAGCAGCTATAGCTGGTTGCTTCCTGCAAATAAATATATAAAAATGACATTTTTTTTATAAAAAATAATAAATAATAAATATCAGTAATAAAAATGTAGGTAACATTAATTCGTACACTTTAAGCGTCTCTGGCTTATCAAAAGAAACAGGAATAATTTCTGGATCCTTTTTCTCTTCCTCTTCCTGTTTCTTTTTCTCTGTAAGATTTGGTACAATGCCAGTCTCTACTAAACGCTGGAATAATTCATTCATATTTAATGGCAATGATAAAGCTGGAGTTGACGTAGGTGGATTTTCGACCGGTTCTGCCTGATAAGACAAACCAGACGATGGTGCCATTGCAGATGGTAGAACAGAAGATAAAATATCCAATTGTAAATCTGTAAGATATATCGATTTATTACTATAACAAGAATGAAATATTAAAAGTACTTACGATTCGTTCTACAAAGATAGCCTTCAATTGAAGAAACTAAACAGATAATAAATTTAAAGAAATAAATTTGGATAATACTTACCTGGTTTTGGTGTAGATCTGAGATCTGAACCATCTTGGGATGTGGATTCCTGTTCTATAGATGGAAGCTGAGTAGGAGTAGGTGTAGTATCAATTTTAGGTTTTTGATTTAATAAAGGTGGAGTTGATGGTGCTTCAATAGGTTCTTCACCTCTCATTCCTGCTATCTTAACGTATCCAGCACGTATACCTCGTGGTAATACCGAAAATCTTATGAAATGTTTTTTATCTCTTACAATGATGGGCTTAGGTAATCCTCCAAATTCAACTTTAAACGGTCGACCATTCAAAAGTACCGTTTGCAAAGCGTCTATGAATTCTAATGTATGAGGCTTGCCTTCAATTTCAAATCTATAAAAATTATGTTATAAGAAAATATCACACATATATATATATATATATATATATATATATATATATATATATAATCATTTTGAGATAAGTTTCATTTATTATTACTTCAAAATTACTTACATTTGTGGTTTTGCATCTAAAAAGACAGGCACCATATTTCTAGCATTAATTATGAGATTAATTTTAGCAACTACTAAATCTGTTCGTTTAACAGTACCGATCTTTACTTGTGGCGGAGGGCCCTCTAATTTTATATTTACTTTTTTACCACCAAGCTCTATAGTTACAGGCATTCCACCAAAATAACATTCGTACCAACGATCATCAACATATAATTCCCTTGTTGGAGCACCCAGTTTTATTCTGGAAACATATTATATATAAATGTAAAATATGCGAAAATATTATATATAAATACGAGATAAACAATATATTTATTTTGGAAATACCTGTGAACTTCTCCATCGTACATGAATTCTTTATATTGATCATTGAATGCACATGTTATAGTATCCTTATCATCTATTAAAATTCGCCTTACACCATCCTGGAATCCAATTTCTCTCGGATCATCCCAATTCATAAAAACTACACCAGTTTGACCATAATATCTGATTTCTCTTGGGATATTATCAATATTTATAGACTTCATAGTATCTCGGGCAATTTCATCTAATAATTGCGAATCTGGCGGAGGTAGTTCACGACTATGAGGACCTTGATTTTTTGGCAGTGCAGCATTATAATTTTGATCTCCATCTTCAAGATCGTATTTTGTTGCTGTAGCATTTGGTGAAACATTTCTTCCAGTACTCAGAGATGGTATGTTTGGATTTGACATTAAACTTGGAATTGGTCCATTATTCATAATTATTCCAGGTCCATTCATACCTGATAATGACAAGGAAGGATTTGGCATACCTATTGGACCAATTGGTCCATTTGGTAAGAGATTAGATATAATAGGACCATTAGGACCTATAGGACCCATCATACTAGGTCCTAATCGGGGATTTGGACCTATATTGTGATTATAACCACCATGATACTGATAATCTGGCCTCATTGGGCCAAAATGTCTTGGATTTTGCCAAGGTCCTACAGGTCTAAAATCTGCATTAAAGTGTGCTTGAGGGCCACCATAAGGAGGACCTGGTGGGTGTGCCCATGGACCTGGTTGCTGCCACGGCTGACTTTGCCATCGTGGACCATTTGGATTTCTAGGAATAGGATGATCCTTACTCCTTATGACTTCTTTTTCACCAGATGGGCTAAAATTAGGTGTACGATCAACCGGACCATTAATATCCAACGATACTCCTTTTTCCCATACTATAGAACCTGCCTCTTTTTCTTTACGCTGCGCTGCTCTCAATTTTCGATCTTCACTCATATGTAAAACCTCTTGTATTAATGTATTATATTGTGTTTTTGTAATCGATCCTTGATTAAGTTGTTCAGCAGCTTGTTTCATTATTATTTCAATATTTCGATCTTCGTTTCTTTCAGGTTTATCATTTTCGCGTCCTCTTCGACCAGGTCGAGAGTCCTGATCCTCATTAGACAATGTTCTTCGTCTGTCTTTTGGATCGTCCGGTAATTTATTATAAAGTCTGAGACGACCTAATCTATCTCTGTTACGATCTCTATCGCGTTTGTCATCATTATTATTCACTTGTTTTTCTCTATCATTCTTTGAAGGAGTCTTTAATTTAGCCCAACTATCTTTGCCATCTTCTCCGGAAATCACTGGTGGTGGTGGCGTTGGCGGTCGACCAGCCTTAGGATGCGTCAATGTTCTCAAATCAACATCTTCATTCCCAAATAATCTGTTCACCGTAATAAAGTAAACATTAAAGCGTTCTAAATATTTTTTTTGTCACTTATTTTGATAATACTTACGCATCAAATTTTTCTGCTTTTGTCTTTTTAATCGCTGTTGGTTCCAAGTGTTCAGTACTTTGTCTTTTATTTGTATTAACTGGTGGCAAGACACGAAGATCTAGATCTTCTTCTGTAAAGAATTGAAAATAGTATAATAGACGTTAACGTAATGTATGATAATATAATCTTAAAGGTTTCAGGCCATTTTTGTCAATTTCATAGCATACTATTATTATAGATGATTATGTTGAAAATTGTGATTAGTGCGAGTCTTAAACTCACACTAAAAATGCTTGTCTTGTAAAATAAAATAAATTAATTGATATCATCAATAAATTTACAGATATACCTTTAATATGCATTATAATTATAATTTAATATTAAAAATTACTTTTAGTTACACTATGTATAATTTTTATGTATCAAGTATGAAAAATACAAACATCTGAAAATTATAATTTAGCAATATAAAAAATTGAACACAATATGTAGACTCACTCTTTTCAGCTACGGTGGTATTAGTACCAGGAAGGGGCAATGTAGCTCTGAGGTCTTCGTCTTTACTGGATGACTCCAGTGTTGGTTCTGTGGTAACTTGAACGTTCCCAGAATTAACAGGTGAACGTTCTGGACTAAGACTATCATCCTTATTTCGACGTACATAATTTCTTTGTCTAGCATTTGGCCTGATTTCTTTAAATGTGGGTGGGTGAGGAGGAGATACTATTAATGAACCGGATTGTTCCTCCTCAGTAACACCACCTGAACTGCTTAAACTTGAATTGGATTTTGTGTCATTACGCCGGGGTATTCTATATGGGGAACTTGGACTGCGCTTTCTCGATTTTATCTTCTTGCGATTTTTAGAAGTTTGGAAAGAGGACTGAGGAGAGGTACGCGAAGATGGTGAACTGTCTCCACTGTCTTTTTCACGTGATTTAGACCTAACTGGACTGGAATCTCTGTCGACTTTCGGCACCTTACTCGGAGATGATTGAGGTTGTTTAGAACGCGATTTGTTACCTATTTTTCTATATGAGGATTTAGAGGAAGTGGAAGATTTATCAATTGTAGACGATGAAGAGCTTCGTGAACTTAAACTCTTCACATCTTTTGTCTTGATGTCACTTCCTCCACCTCCCCTATTACTTCCTGACAATGTCGAAGAACTGCTATTGAGTGACGAACTTTGGGCACTTTTGGAGCAATTACTGTTTAGGTTATTGCTATTATTACTAGACGATCGAGGGTCTTTCTTTTGACTTGTTCGATGCGAGACAGCATCTTTATTTGCGTTACCACTGAAACTTTTATTATTATTGTTGAGGTTCGTATTAGCATTAGTGTTATTACTAGCGTTTATCGTTTGTGTATCGGAGCCGGCAAGATTTGTCGGAGGCTTGTTGATAGTGCTAGTCACAGCCTGTTTCGGAAGTAATTGGTGTTTTAATTGATCTGAAAGTACAGTGTTTATATTTGGCGCTAACTGCGTTTGGCCTTCACCACTCCGGATCTCCTTTTGGCCGGTTGTACTCTGTCGTTGTCGCGGATCTGTAGTTGTCACCTCCTGAACGGATGCAGTCTTCAATCGAGGATCACGTGACATTGGCCTAGCAGACGCTACTGCTATACTACTTGCTGGTGCAATTCGAGGACCATTATTCGTGCCTGCATTTTTCAACAATGATGCAGCTGCAGCTGGAAACTGAAAATTATATAAAAATAAAATAAAATTTTTATGAAAGGAAAGAAAAGCATTTTGTTAAATAGTTAGGTGCTATCTTTCTATTTTTTTTTTTTTTTTTTTTTTTATTTTTATGATTGAAATTACCTGTTTTGTAACCTGTTTTGGTGTTGGACTCGATACAACAGGTGTTGTAGGCTTTCCTTGGGTAGTACTTTCTGTACTTGGACGAACAGTTGTTGATGGCACAACCTATAAAAATTAAATGAATATATAATATAAATTATTTATTTCTATAAATTAAAAGAAACATAAAACTTTATTTCTATATCTATTTTTACATACTATGTCTGTCTTTAAACTTCCAGCTTGTTTATCAAGTTGCCTCTGCTGTTGTTCCAAACTAGCTTTGGCTTGAAGCAATTCCAGTTCAATTTTTTTCTTTTGTAATTCTAACAATTCTCTTTGCTTCTTTAATAACTGCTCTCGCATTACAGCTTCTGTAGTAGATACTGGATCACCTGGTGGTAACTTAACTGGCGGTACAATTGGTTGAACTATTGATGTTGCTGTTTGTTGAGGCTAGAAATAATCAATGATTTTAAATAACGAATGATTTGAACAATGAATGAAAATTTTATATACAATATAATTTTAAAAATTTTACCATAGAGAGAAAACGAGGATTGACATGGATGGAGCCCGACGATATACTTGTAGGAGAGGCAGTGATTGGCCAAGCAGGATCAATACTTTGTACTCGTACATCTAATGAAAATAACTTCTTTGCAGGAAATACATCATTCCATGTTTGCCGCAACTTCCACATACTGGCTCTAGTATTTTCATCCACCTGAATTATTAAAAGAACATTAGCAAAAACAAGATTTCCATTGCAAATTTAAATGAATTTTATTTATTTATTATGTGCAACATAACAAACTAATATCAACTGAAATGATGAAATTACTTCATAATGTCATCCTGCAATAAAAAATGTTATACTCTAGTGCAAGAGTTCATATAGAACTGTGAGTTCAATACCATATTGATGAAACCATTATCTTATAGTAACATAAAATGTGCAACACTTGAGAAGTTTCTATGAAGTTGAATACATGAGTTTGTAACTGAGGAAGTACACTGTAACTTCCTGCATTGGAAGAAAGAAATCTCTTCTTAAATAGAAAGAAATCTCTCTCTCCTTCTCTCTCTCTCTATATATATATATGTGTGTATATATATGTAAAATGCATTTCTCTAAATTAACAAAATTATAGAATTGAAATCACAATATCTATAATTCGAATTTTTCTATTAAACATGAGATAAATTCAATCAAATATAAAACATTACCTTTTCAAAAACTCCACAAAATGTATTCACAATATTTTGGGTAAAGAGATTTAGATAAGTTCCATTAACATTCTTCACAATAGAATCGATGAGGTAAAGTACAGGTAGTTTGATATCACTCCTCACCTATTGAAACAATAACACACCATCCTTCTATTTTTTGTACCATAATTATTTCAGAAATTCTGATATTATATAATTAAAAAAATAAATAAACACATTAAACATCTTATAAAGATAATCAATATTAAAAACGGCTCCAAAGATACAAAATTTTGTTCACAAAACTTAAAGGTCATAAAACTTATTAGACATGAATTTTTTCACTTATTAAGCATATAAGTGAATGCATGTATCTAGGATAATTCAAATAGCGACCTAAATTTAAGAATCTGAATGAAATATGCATATCTATGTATATTATAAATACTATCACATTTCATTATTATATATTGAATTTTGAAAGTAATCTATAATTATAATTAAGATTTACTTTATAAAAAGAGACGAGACATAAAATATTCACAATGAAATGATTGCATCATAGAGGTCAATAATATAAAACAGTATTTTATTTCCATGCTAGTATTGTATATTCATAATACTCAATATCACAAAAACATATTCTTTAATTTTATCACAGTATCTGACTTCATATAATTTAATTATATTCTTAATTAGTATTCTGTTATTTATTTAAATAAATATTAATTCATATATCTTGTTAAATACATATAATATTATCGCATTTACAAGAAAGAATCAAAATTGTTTCTTTCACTGCAATCTAACATTTCATATAACCTAATTGCAATAATTATGTAGTTAATCATGAAATAACAAAGCTTTATTCGCTCTCATATAGAAGACACTACTATAATATTTTAATGTAATTCAAAAAAATTTATCACAGAAAAAAATATAGTATATATATTTCTATGTAATGAAATAAATTATGATATAGAAATTTTAAAAAATTGTTAAATATATATATATATATATATTAATTGTACAATATTATTGTATAAATATTGTAAATTGTAAAAATACTTTTCCTTTATCTGTTGTACTACATATATGAATATTAATGTACTATGATATTTATATAGAAAAATTAATAAAAGTAATTATAATATTTGAAAATACAATATATCCATTTGTTTTCAACATAGAATGGATAAGAAGGAAAAAGTTATAGATTATTTTGCTAAATTGATTATATATAAATTAATTAGTTATTATGATACCTTAAAGACATAAGATTTTGAAACATGAAACTGAATTAATTATATTATTTGATTAAAAAGATACTGCAACACCATATTTTATACATAATTATAAAATATGGAGATAATTTATATTAATTATAATTATTAGTTATTTTAAATGATTAATTATCTTAATTGTTCATGACATTACAATAAGCATGAATTATAACAAATGGATATACAGTGATACGTGATACCCAATAATATAAAATAGAAAATAATTTTCATTACAAGAATGTTTGACAAAAATATTGAATTTTTCCTTAGAATAACTACAAAATATAAATAACCTTTTGTAGATGATTTTCGACAGCTTGGACGATTGCAGGTGCATGTTCAACGTTATCCTCTGCCAGCATAGTAAGCATATTGATAAGCGGCTTGCTGTTAATCGTAAGATCAGACAGCGATGAGATGTACTCATCGGCTATTTCTTTAGATTTTGCTGATGTCATCTTTACGAGTCGCCAATAAATAAATGCACCAATTCCTTGTCCCAGTAATCACAGTTACCGCACTATAGTATAATAAAAAACATAACAGAAAAATGTATAAAATGTATATAATACTGTAATTTTACTTATGACCTTTTAATTTTTAATTTGTTAAATAAAATGTAATAATAGTTTTAACAAGATCTTTTGCACAATGAAAAGAAAATATTTACTAATAACAATTCATAAATAATACACTATATGATATATAAATAAATTCATCACAAGATATAAACATCTAAATTCATACATTAGACAACTACATTTCAAATAAATTATTTTACTTTAATGACTTATATATTAATACACAAATATTAATTTATTCCACTATTATAAAAACATTAGCAATCTAAATGTATTTAAATATAAGTATTTGATGCAATTGGTTTAATAATGAATCTATGAAAATTTCACTTTCACTATATTTAAATAAATAAAACAAAAATAACACTATTTTCTTTAAATCATTTATTTCATTTAAAAAGATGATGATGCTACGCTTTATGCAGTTAACTTCGAATAAGAAATTAGCACAATAGTATTTCTATTTATGTAATATCTGGAACTCCTTGGAAGTTGATGAATTTTGTTGGTACATTTATTGATTATTTTTATGAACTAATAAATTTACGCACACTATATGTCTTTTTAGAATTTTCACATTAACACAATTATATGTTCTAGAACGCGAGAGATATATTAGTCGCTTAAGAATAACTACCACGCATCTGGATTTCCTCAACGCCCGTCCAACAAATTTTAACAACAATGAAAACAATAATTTTTTACGTTCTACAGGAACTGTCGCTTTCGATATAAAATAACATTAATTAAAATTTACCTTATTAAAACATTTTCGGATATAGAAGCATCACGAGATAAATTATTTTGACTCTTTGCGAAAATTACACGCACACTACTGCTTACGCAGGACGAGACATTCACTTAAAATGGCTGCCATACCTTTGTATCTTCTAACGGTATTATGAATAGTAACGCTCACGCCGATTGGTGAAAATCAATCGTGTGTAGGTTCTGTTTGGAGTAACAACCAATCGTCTTTTTCGTTTCAAAGTTCATATAATCAGTCTACTCTACTCTGTACTATAATTCGATAGCTTACCGTACGTGTCGCTAGTAAAGAAGATATTTTCATGAGAGTGTGATTTTATCTCAGTGGTAAAAGAAATATAAATTTAAATGATTAATTATTTTGAATTAATCAGTAATATGGATTTTCATATAATTTCTATATCTCAATCTTGTATATAGTATATAATCCTTTCAATATAATGAGTCATCCAATCTATATATCTATTTTATTGGCTATCATATAAAAACAGCTTTGAAAATAGCTTTAACTCGTATACCAAATAGTAACGATTGCCAATTATAAAATAAGAATCAGGTTTGTCAATTCTCTTCTATCGTGAATTTCATTTATTCAATCCGTGTACACTTTAATAATAAAAACACTTTTATCTGTCGCGTCGTATATGCATTTATATCTTTGTATGTATGTATTGCATACTTACGTGCATTTTCGTGTAGCGCACGTGTGTGTGCAATTATAGAAAGCGCTCATTGAGATCTAGTAGTAACAACTATAGATAAAACAGTCATTTTGACAGAATGGCCGAGTGTTCTAAACCTGTTGTAAGACAAATATTAATTGTTCATTTCTTTGAGTTCCACAGAATTAGAACACTAGTTGAGTGAATTAACTAAATACAAACTAATTGTACATATACGAATGATCGTGATGCATTTTCATTCGTGATATCAAAAGGGTGGATATTGCGAAATTCTTTCTCAAAGTATGTTGTAATTCGAAGGCAACCGTCAAGGTAATCAGAAAGTGTAGAAAGTGCGCGTGTTATGTTTGCAAATGTATAGGTAGACTCGCTTTTGTAAAACCGTTTTGGGATAAATTACGGTGCAAATGTGATGGAGGACTACAAATTTCTTTTCAAAGTCGTCCTGGTGGGCAATGCCGGTGTTGGAAAAACTTGCCTTGTACGGAGATTTACGCAGGTAAAATTTTCTTATCTACATTATTATCGCTCAATTTTCATTTACGTTCACCGTATGACATCATCGGAACTATCTTTAAAAAATGATTTCACTTCCTAAATAATGAACAATATATTTACCAGTCGCGATATCATATGTTACGATTATCGTTGTTTTCGTAAGGAAAAGAGAAAAGAATTTTTTTTTTCTTTTTTTCATAAAAATATCTTTTTGTTATTTTTAGGGTTTATTTCCTCCAGGTCAAGGTGCAACAATCGGTGTAGATTTTATGATTAAAACTGTGGAAGTAGAAAATGAGAAAGTCAAGGTTTGCATGTACATGTAATATCTCATAATTAAATATAAATATATACATAATATATACACATATTGTATAAAAAAATTAAAAAATTATGCATATATATATATATATTGTATCTTGTGTGAACTAGGTATATATTTGTTTTGATTACAGTTACAAATTTGGGATACAGCTGGACAAGAAAGATTTCGTTCAATAACTCAAAGTTATTATAGATCTGCTCACGCTTTGATTTTAGTATATGATATTTCATGTCAACCTACTTTTGATTGTTTACCTGATTGGTTAAGAGAAATTGAAGAATATGCAAATAATAAAGTTTTAAGGATATTAGTAGGTAAATAAAAGAATAAATTGCAAAATATTACGATATATTAATACATAATTTGTAACAAAGTTTTTCATTGTGAATAATTACATTTGTTTTATTATATCATTTGAAGGTAATAAAATAGATCGAGAGGATAGGGAGATACCAACGCATGTAGGTGAAGATTTTGCACAAAGACATGGAATGTACTTTTTAGAAACATCAGCAAAAGAGGCAGAAAACGTAGAACGATTATTTATGGAGATAGCTGCCGAACTTATGGATGTAAGTATTATTTGTCTTTCTTTTTTATATATGTATATATATATATATTTTTTTTTTCTTTTTTTTTTTTCTATTATTAAATTAATTATTTAATTTTAGCAAGCACGTAGTAAGGAATTACCTAGATATGAAACAAATGCAACTTCCATAAATGGAAAGACTACATCAATTGGTGATACTAATAGTTGTGGTTGCAGTCGTTTTTCTTAAATATTTGTGGCAATCGTATTATGTCATTTGTATGAATGCAGAACTGTCGTCAGTTATTGGATATTTATATAATAGAATAAGATTATACGTTTTTCATTACATATATTAAATGCAATACTAGTCGATGTTTCACAGCTCAGACAATATTAATCTATTCGCACACTTGATATTATATATTAGCAAATAGCAAAAACACTATATACTATTTTAATTATTAGAGTGAATTGATTTTTACAATGTTATAGTTAGTACTTTCTTCAATGGCAGACTATCAGATTAGTTAAATTTTTATAAGAATACTCTTTGTCTGACTGATCTGTCATCATTTTTATAAGATTTTGGTTGCTTCAAAAGTACAAATAGTTATGTATGAATTTTGATGGATTTTTATAGAGAAGATAATGTTTATGCCCTAAAACAACAATACTGACAACTTTTTAGATTAATGTCCAATGTGCAATACAGATGTGTGCTTACTATGCTAATTTTAAAATTAAGAATTAACTTGAACATATAAATATTTAAATATTTCATAGAGTACTCACGAAATATCAATAATATGATTGAGATAAATTTTTCTCTATTAGACATTGTTATAAATATAAAGGACACACGTTCTTCATTGTTTTATTACTGATATTTGGGTAATCAAAGTTTTGTTACATTTATTCCATATTTTAATCATGTTTTCTCATCATAGTTTATTATTAATTCTGTTCACCTATTGTTCAATGTTGTATCATAAAAATTATTTACAAAGTATTAACTTTGATAATGCTATCAAAACTATCTATTAATTTGTTTAGGTCATTACTCTAGTCTCAAGATTTGCTTCTTTTACAGATTAGGTATAAGGAATCTAAGACTACTAAAATTTGTATAATTTTTCTTTCTCATTATTACATTAATCATAATTTATTTATTTTCTCCTGTTAATTCTTTTGTTATATTTTATTTGTATAAATTGAATAATACATATTTACATCAATTGCAAAAACAGAAGAATAAGAAGGGCTGCATTTTTCTAATGAGTACTATTAAATAATAATGAATTTATATATTACTAAATTGCTTTTTATATTGATAATTTATATGCTATATTGTTGAAAAATATTGTGACCAATACAAAATTATTTCATTCCATTTTATTTTTTGGTATAAAATTGACACATTAATGCTATGCAAATAAATCAGATCTTTAAAAATTTAATAAGCTTGTCAATATCAAATAATTTTATTATTATAATAATATGCTATACAATTTTATAATGCATGAAATAAGTGCATATTTGAGTAAATGCTAATAAATACATATCAATCTGTCATGTCTTCTAGGAATTTTATTAAATAATTTATTTTTATTCTGCATTAATTTTATTTTACACAGACACTACAATATATAGATGATATAGAAACTTTTATTTACATATATCATTAGATACACTATATTGTGATCATAATAGTTGTAGTAGATGTATCTATTACATATAAACATGCGTGATGTCTAATAGGCATTTCATTGAATAGCTTCTACTTATTTGATATAATAGAAGTGTTTATATTTATTTTAAAAGTAATCTCTCTTCTGTCTTGTTTGTAATCAATAAATATGATATCATGATTATATTATGCCTATTATGTAAAATATGAAGATTAACATAAATATTTTTCATTATTGTATTCAATGCCACACTTTACATGTCATGTATGTATATAACATATGACAAATTACATAGTGAGTGGAAAGTTTGTATCGAAAGTGTAAATCGAAATCAAGAATTATTGTAGAGTATACTATTAAATTATATCTTGTCTGTGATCAGAACCAATATTCTTTTTATATATATATATATATATATATATATATATATATATATCTATGTATTTAAGTTTTTCTCATATTTTAATACTTATTATAAAACAAATATTTTACTTTATGTAATTCTTCAGACCTAAATAGTTTTACTACATCATCTATCAATCTATTTTTCTAGAATTTTTTAATGATTTAACTAAGATTAGATTTTTTAATTGATATGTAATAAAGGTAAGTGATGTATTGAAATATTTTAATGTTATCATATTTGTATACTATTTTAATTATTTACTAATAAATAAATTCAAATAAATTCTAATAATTTTGAAATTGTTTAAATAGAATTTCAAATCGAATATGATGCTATTCCGGATATCAATGTATGCCTGCATGCAGGATAAATAAAAAATTGAAATCAATAATTATCTATAAATATTCTTAAGATATTTTGTATTTGATTAGAACAATATACAAATTACATAAAAGTCTTATCATATAAAATAATTTCACATTAAAAACACTTGAATGAAGTTAAAATAGAAAATTAATAACTTCCATTGTTAATTTATTCACAACTTGTTGAATTAAATATTTATCGAATTTGATTGAATAAAAAAAGAAGCGCAAATAATTTTTTACTTGTACGTTTACTTGTGTACGTCAATTTTTTATTAGTTTATATATACACAAACTACATCGTTTGTGATATGAGTTTCATACTTTTCATTGGTTAGAATAAGACGTTATATGATAAGTAATTTGTTCAATTATATTAGGATTAATTATGGTACAATTAATTGTATATATAATAAACATTACAGAGTAATTTGAAAATAATATATGTAAAATTCGCAGTATGCGTTGTAAATATTTTTAAAATGCAACTTAAACGAAAATATTTTGTTCATAAATAATAATAATAAATCATTGGCACACCATCTATCAGAAAAAAAATGAACTTCAAAAACGATATTCAGCACGATTATACGGTTCTTCATCAGATTCACACGTAGATATTTTAGAATACATACGAGAAACGTGTAATTGATCAAGGAAACGGCATCAAATCATTTATTCGATTTAGAGTGAATAATTTTCATTTTCTTATAAGCAATACAAAGAAAAGTAAGTTTTATAAAAGAGATAAGTGAATGCTTTAAATATTTACATACATTATAATTTTTATTAAAAACGTCGATTAGCATGAGAATTAATTTTTGAACTAACACGTATAGATTATTACGTTTATAAAAAGCAAACTGATTCTTTTCATATATTAGAATTTTATTTAACGTACATAAATTACTGGTAATTATAATTATCTTATTTGCAATTTTACTCGTAATAGTTTACTATCATTTGTATATTTATATGCATATATATTATATATAATTTATTATATTATGTGTATATATATATATATATATATGTAATTTGAATATTAACAACATATTATTTATTAATATGATTTTCATATTTATATTTATAAATATATTTTTGATTTTTGTTATTTTATGATATATAGAATGGCAGATAATGCAGGTTCAGGAGATTCATCACCACAATTGGAAAGAGGATGGTTGACTTTAAAACAACATGTAATCGATAACAAAATTAGAGCTGGATTATGGTTTACAAGATTACTAACTATGATATTTACAATAAGTTATATTATTCCAATATTTGGGTAAGTTGCTATTTTTTGTATCCAATAAATTTATTTTCAACAACATTTTTTTTCCATATAGTTACAAATGTACTATTTTTATCATAATATAAATTAATAACACTTTTTATTTTTTAGAAATTCTTATAATATATATTACAAAGCTTTAATGAGCTATGCAGCAACCAGTGCATTGCGTCTTCACCAAAGACTGCCACATGTACAACTTAGTAGACAATTTTTGGGAATGTTACTTCTCGAAGATTCCTGCCATTATTTACTTTATTCTATAATATTTCTTTATGTTTCTCCAGTGACAAGTATCCTTTTAATCTTTGTTTTATTTCATATAATATAATGTATTATATTATTTATTATTTTTTTTTTATACTTATATTCTACTTTTTAATACATGCTATATATTTTTCTTAAATCTATAATTAGTCGTGCTTGTACCAATATTTTTATTTGCCATGTTGCAATTTGCCAGTTTTTCACTCACATTACTAGATGTAAGTACAAAAACATCTAGTCATATCTAAACATGTAATTATACAAAAATATTACAAAGTCATTGTGAAGATAAATTAATACACATTATTTCTTTCTTTCTTAAGTGCTTAGGACAGAATAGCTGGTGGGGAATTCGTCTTATGATCTCTTTGGTTGAGTTTCAGTCTCATAAAATTTTGCGTTTCTGTGCATTTTCTGAAATCATAATTCTACCATACACAGCATTTCTTGTTTTGACGTAAGTCGATAATATATTAAATATAAAGTCTATAAACAAATAAATAAACGACAATATTTTATTTATTTACAGGGGACGTGTTAATTTGTTAACACCAGTTATATATTATCAGTTCTTGAAGTTACGTCTTGCATCACAAAGAAATCCATTCACGCGTAATATGTTTTATGAAATCAGAAGTATTTTGAATACTTTGGCCAAGAAACCTGCAGTGCCAGATATACTCCGTAAAATGATAGAAGGTTTCCTTTCTTTAACTCAACAAATGGCACCAGTACGTCAGTAATATTTTGATTTGATTCCCAATTTGAACATTTCAAGGGAATTGTTTTTGGATTGTAGGGTCCACACTTTTATAAAATTAAATATAGTGACAGTGAGTGCCGTTGTCAACATTTTTGGTAAATGTGTTTAATTTAATATATATATATATATAAGATTTAAATAAATAAAAAATGTAATAGGTGCATCTAGATAAACTTATTAGTGTTATAAGTGAGAATGTTTTACAAACATTTCATACATTTTACCATTCGAACGAGATTGAATCTTGTAGTAATAGACATATTTAAGAATTGTCTATTATTTATTAGTATTAATTAAAGTGAACTTGTATGTTTTATAATCTGTCATAAAATTAATGAATTTATTTATAGTTGTCAGGAATCTGGTATACTATAGTCATGTAGAGATACAACACACAATGCTGTCTGTCAAGCATGTGGTGTTATTGTAATTATCACAAATATGTAAAATAAGTAATGTAAACTATATCATTGATTTACTCATACTTTAAAAGTATTACTTTTCTTTAAGCACCTTTTTGTATATTTTTGTTGTTTGTGTATTCCTTTATGATTAAATATATGGTTATGGTAAAGAATTTTTTATATAATTCTTTTTATTAAATTGCTTTAATTGATATAATTTGTTGGTTAGTGTTATAAACTTTTGAGAATATTTTATTTAATAAAAAATATAATTTTATTGTCATTTAGAGATAATACAAATACTGCAGTAATATGTAAAATAGTCTTATTTCTTCGAATATTTCTTTAATTGTTTTCAATGATTAGTAGTCAGGGTTAAAAATATTATACAGAGAAATCAAAGTATTTCTTGTTTTATACCATTTTTATTTTTGTTGTAATGTTAATTATTACACAAGTGGTGCCGGTTGAGGTATGTCTTTTGAGGCTTTTATTTCAGAAGTTGGTTGTAAAGGACGTACTTCTTCTTTTGGTTCAGCTATCGAAACATAATCTGGAAGAGGATCTTTTGGACCAAGTTTACCATTAGGATCCCATGGTAACATAATTTTTACTTTGATACCTAATACACCTAAAATAAAATAATAAGAAAAAATATTAATCAATATGGCTGATGTAAAAAAAAAAATCTGTTTAATATTTGTTCTAATTAGAAATATACCTTGTCGAAGAAGTACATGACGAGTTGCAGTGTTTACATAATTGTTTGTTGGTTCTCCTGAATGAATCATTAAGCCATCAACAAATTTCATTGATTTTGCTCTCTGACCACGTAATTTCCCACTGACAACAACTTCACATCCTCTTGCTCCTGATTCCATGATAAATCGAAGAACACCATAACATGCCCTATGAAGTAAAAATCATGATTTCTTAATACGTTAACTAGAATTAAAGTATAAATTATAAATAATTATTCGTAAACAAACCTTCGTACAGCAAGTCCACCAATCAACTTATATCGAAGGGATTCAGCTTGTGCAATAGCACACAATCCACGTTGTGCTACTTTTTCAGCATATAATTCAACATTTTGTGGTTCTTTAAAATTAAAACGTTTTTGTACCACAGAGGTCAATTCTCTAATTCTGCGCCCTTTTTCTCCCAAAACACTCTGTGTATGTGTGGCTAATAGGATGATTTCTGTACGAGTTGGCGTTACACGAACCTCAACACCAGAATATCCATCTTCTGCGAGTTCACGAGTCAAGAATTCATTGAGCTCAGCTTTGAAGACTCCATCTCCTACAAACTATCAATATAACGATTAGTATATCGTTAACTCTTGATAGTAATATCAATACAAAGTTAACCTTAAAAGTTCACGTTTTATTGAGTAAACATAACACTTTAATGAAAAAGAAAATATAATTAATTTAATTCATGTCTATTTGTAACATCAATAAAATATTGTGGATGTTTTTCTTTTTAAGATTAAAATGAAAACTTTCGATAGGTGACAATTTCATGGAATAACGGGGGAACAAAACAATTAAAAGTATCCATGGCATCCACCTTTTCACCATGTTTCACTGTTATATATTTGCACAAAATCTTATTATAACAATATTTAAGATTACGGAAAACACTATATTTTCAAGTAATATATATTAGAAATCACAATAAATCACAAACCTTCTTTTTCTTTGAAATAGAACGAGTACCCATATTTAACGTAGATGCCACAACAGAAGGCAAGAATGTAAAAGACCGGACTGAAAGCGGAAATAGTATAATTCTCTTACTCAAGTAGTCAAATTAGCGTTTATGTATAACAAAAAATTATTACAAAATCATTAGAACTTAAGAAAAATGGATTTAACAATTTTAAAAATTATTTCATTATTAATTAAAATGTTAGATATAATTGCAATTTTGTTGTTGGTTAATGGTAACGATTATAAGTTTAACAAGTACATGAGTAGGCAGTTCGTTAAGAAAAAATAATATTAATGATGTTCAATAATACGTTAAACATTGTATTATCGTTAATAATTTATTGTGCATTTTACAAAGATGTTTTTTTAAAATATTATCATCGATACTTTACGGTTCAATCAAATACGTCTCTCGTTTGATTTAAGAGGTTAGAAGAAAACAACGTCAGTCGAATGTAATACTGCTGACAAAATACTACTGATAAATTTTCAATTTTTATCAATATACGTAATATACTAAGTCATTTTGTTTTTATTGTTTATCAATGAATATAATGAGTAATTGTACGGTCTTGAAAAATATTATCGAAGTAAAAACATATACTTTGTATTGAGTCATGTGATTAGGATTCATTTCATTCACTTGATCTCAAGTTTCTTATGACGAGACTAGGTATTATGTTTTGTTTCCGACATGGAATGGAGAACAGTTGCAGTGACGATATTAGTAGTGACACTTTGTTTCTTGGCCATACCTATTCGCATTGGCCCTGATAATAATAACGAAGATATCAAGTTGTTCGAGAATATGTCGCACGGTATAACAAATCGTATAAAAACAATCCAACCGAGTATAGTGATAGATTCGAACGATTTCAGGTAATAGATAAGATTTATAAGTTTCATTTTATCACCTTTTCTCGCTTGTGTTAATTCTTTATCTATAGATCAATTTTTCCCGCGATTTGTTTATTTGAATTTTATTCTTATAATTTCCCGCGCTTACTCGTCTTTCCTTTCACCAATTTTGAACACGCTTATCACGGATCTTTAATTGCTTTTTGTTTCTCCTTCGAATTGCATCGATAAAAATTCGATTTTCAACGTATTAATAAGAATATTAACTTTTCAGAGATCTTTACGACATATCGAGAAAATGAATGGTTTTCGATCGTCCCAGGAAAGTGCTTTCTACGGACTCACGGAATTTTCCGACATGTCGGAAGATGAATTTCTACAGACAAACCTTTATTCTGATCTATCGGAAAGAGGTGAGATTAGATCGAAATAATAAATATTCTCGATGAAATCTTTTATTTCGAACAAATTTGAGATAAAGATTTTTTTCGACGATTATACCATATCAATTCTGTGTATTTTGCAATGAAAAGTAAACAAAAATTTTTTTATTTATCCATCAGGAAAAAAACATGCGAACGCGAGCTATCATAACGAACATCGTAAGAGAAAAGAAAGAAATCACTTGGAAAAAAGAACTATAGGTATACCACTGAAAGTAGATTGGCGAGAGAAAGGTATAATATCTCCTATAAAAAATCAAGGATCCTGTGGTGCTTGTTGGGCCTTCAGTACTGTCGAGGTAGTTGAATCGATGTATGCCATAAAAAATGGTAGTCTACATTTCCTAAGTGTACAGGAGGTAAGTTACTAAGCTCTTTTAAGAATTGATAATACTTTCCCCTACCATTATGATAATATATTGTTTTGCATATTGCGGACACTTGCGGTGATCGATCCACTAAGTATATAATATGCTTTGTATCGTTCGAATATAAATGTATCTTATATAATATTTTATTCGTAACATTTGTAGATGATTGATTGTGCAAGGAATACTAATCTCGGATGCGAAGGTGGAGATATTTGCAGTTTGCTCGCTTGGTTGAAATTAACGAAATCGCCGATATTACCGGAATCTAATTATCCGCTCACACGAATGACTGACACGTGCAAGCTAAAAGGGTATATTTTAGGATTAAATTGTATTCCCGTAAAGAATTTTGATAATACGATCGTTATTTAATATTTATATATTTCAGAGCTACCGCGAAAATGAAAACAGGTATCAAGGTGATGGACTTTACCTGCGATAGGTATTTGAATTTTCCATATATTTTTTTTATTATTTTTATTTTATTTGTTATCGTACGATAAACTATTCGAAGGAATATACTTTGAAATAAATCCAAAGATTAAAGAATTTCCAGCGAAGATTGATTAACATTATTATACAATCTTAGAAAATTGATATATGTATGTAGAGTGTAATATATCGTATTAGAAAAAGATTTTATTATATAAGTTGACTGATCAGCATGTTTATGTAATACTGAGTCTAATCATAACGTTTATGAAGTCTTACCTTCATTCGATTATACGTCCGTAATCATATACAAGGTTTAAGAGTGAATAATAATGTCTATCTGATGGATGACGTTAGCTTTATAGATTCAGAAGAGGAGCTTCTGATAACATTGGCCACACACGGTCCTGTGGCTGCCGCGGTGAATGCATTATCCTGGCAAAATTATTTAGGTGGTATAATACAGTATCATTGCGATGGTGCTTTTACCAGTTTGAATCATGCTGTACAAATAGTAGGTTATGATAAATCCGGCACAATACCTTATTATATTATCAAAAATTCGTGGGGTCCAGCTTTTGGTGATAGAGGTTACTTGTACATTGCTATTGGCAACAATCTTTGTGGTGAGATAAAAATACGGATTGTCTTTAAATCATTAATGTTTATTATAAAAATATGATTTATTATTTTTTTTTTTTGATATCACCAGGTATCGCCAATCAAGTTTCAGCGTTGGATATCATCTATAAATAAAGGAATATATAATGATGACGTTAATCTATGATCACCATATATTTACGTATATGGCATTTATCGTTAAAAATTAGTCATTAACGTACCTGACTAATTTGTGATTGATTATAAAGAACAGATTGAAATATATTTATCATATGTAATATATTTGATCAGTATTTCTGATCAGTGTTGGGAGAGGTTTTAAAGTTCAGATATATATGTACACATACACACACACATACACACACACACACACACACACACACACACATACACACACACACACACACACACACACACACATACACACACACACATCTTATTGTATTAATAGAAATTAATAACTAAGCTGTTCTTAACAATTGCAATTACTTAAAATTTTAAGATAGGATAAAGATTTTATTTAAAATGAATAAAAGGCCAAACAAATTTTACAAGTTTATTATATGTTACAAGTTATTTTAATTTATAATAAAGATATTACTTATTTATATATAATTGAGGAATGATTAAAAATCGGGTAACTTGAATATTACCGCATAAATTATTACAAGTTTACGAGCGTTCTATTTTATTTTCAGCATTGTTTTGATTGTTATCGGTACTCCAACCATTCCAAGAAATTGAAAGTCTTGTTTTCATTTGCTTCGTTAATGGTGGTATTAAATGTCTAGGTATTAAGAACGTAGACAAATTGAACAAGTCTAGGAACACTTTGTATCTATCGCTATCAATTGAAACGTACAATGTTAATAAGTTTTATCAAATGTTCATTATACATAGAATATAGAATATATATACAGGGGATCACAAAATTCATAATTTCTCCGATTATTTTTCATTCATTGTGAGTTATTTAACGATTAAGTCGATCAATCCTGTGCGCGTTGCAGCGTAGTATTATTTGATTAAATTGATCGAACGATAGAATGATAAAAGGAAATAAAATGAAAGTATGTAATTTGTGCCGGTCGGTTTTATGAACTTCCGACAATTGTCGTTGTCGGCTCTTCCTTTATTCAAGCTAAAATATTTGTTTAATTTTGGGACACCCCGTGTATATATAGTACATATAAAAATCCTTATATCGATTAGTTACCTCAAAGTCGATTTCAAGTATTGGTAACCGGAAGATCCACCAGTTCCAAGTTGTTGAGAACCAATCATCCTCTGAACCATGATTACGTGATTATCTAAAAATATAAAAGATTTTGTAATGCGTTATTAATCATTCGTTTAGAAAAGAAGGGTCATGTAGTTAAAGGTCAATAATATAGACTATCTTACACCTCCATTTAGTAATCAGAGAATCAATGTCCATCAATGCAGTCAGTATTTGATGGGGTTGACTGAACCTTGGTTCGTCCCGATATAATGTTATCATTACAGCTCCTTGCAAGGCAGCATACGAGAATCTTCGTTCTCCTCTCGAGACAAGCGCGTTATGAAGAGATTCGTTAAAGATTGTTTCGAAAATGGCTTGACGAGATTGAATATTGCTCGTAAGATATACCTTCATTTGCTCCTCTGATTGTTCCTGTGATAATAAGTTCATTTCCTATCTTTGATAAATCATATTTCAAACTTACAATTAAAAATTTTTAAAATAAACATTTACCTGTGCAGTTTGTTCTTGTTCGAAGAGCATTTGTTCAACGGCTCTCTTGTACTTTCCCCAAAAGTCAAAATCGTAAGATTCGAGACCCGGTGTCCTGGCCAACCACTTTTGGACCAAGCAGCTGAGGCTGGGTTCTTCCTCGGAACGTTTGATCTCCTCAATAGCTTTCGGATCTCTTCCAAAAACTCTCATGTAACTTTGATTATACCTTACTCTGTGTTCTTGTTTTATACCAAGTTTGTTTTCTAGTAATCTAAATTGCAGGGATTGAAAGCCGGAAGCTGGGCAGAGGTAATCGCGGAACGCCATGAAATCCAACGGTGTCATAGTCTCTAAGATCGTCACTTGATCCACCAGAAGCTACGAAGGACAAAGGAAAGAAAATATTTCATAATGTATGTATTTTATATTTTACCATTAGTACTTCGTTCATATAATTATAACAAGGTAATTTTAAAGGAGAAACTCTTTCTCAAATATACATAAACATTGCTTATCGATTGGACCGCAACTATATCCGCATTTATATGGTTGCTTCGTGCAGCCAGTTATTTTACTCGTCACCGTGGATTTACTACGACAGTAAAGTACCTTAAAGGCGACAAATCGTTTCTTTTTCCTGTAATCGTACGGAAGTTCATAGATGTATCAATTAGTGTCATCCTATTTATAGATTTCTTCTATATAAGTCATACTATCAAGAACTTTTCGTTTATAGTCGTATTAAAGTCAAGTTTATTTTCTTTAAAGAGAAATGTTCAGCAATGGATTTTTCAACGGATTCGATTCCATGAAGAATGGTATTTTTATTGTTGAATCGAAAGACGATAGAGAATAGGAAACAACCGCATACATGTTTTGCGGTACGTAATGAACGGTAATAAGATTATTACTCAAGTTTTTTACGCCTACGATTATTCCTATGAGGTGTCGCGTATCATTTGTGGGTATTAGTTTACTCAGAGCGCGTGTATTATTTCAGTGGTCCCCCATAGAATATCGTTTATACGTGAGAGACTGTCCTTAATGTGAAAGGAAAAGAACAGAAGAGAAAAGGAAAAAATAAAAATTTGGTCATTGTCGTTCGGATTGGATAGTCGAGTATGTATCGATTTCATTTCGTCCAGTTTTACAGAGAGCGTACAATTTTCTTCTTCTCCCGTGTCATGGCTCTCAATCTCGGAAGAGACTCGAGCTCGACGAATATTGAGAAATCACCATTGATATTAATTGTCAGAGACATTTGATTAACTCTACGTAAGGAAAATTAGATTAGAAGCCTTGCAATAACAGAACGTTATCATCGTGGTTAATGAAATAATTTTTTTCACTATTCTTACTGTCGTTCATTTTTTTTCATCTTTATAATTCAACACTTTAAGATCTTATTCTTTTTGTTTTGACGAATGAACAAGTTTTAGGAACGTACTTTTAATATAAGAACGATGCGATGAAGTCGTCTAAGAATTTCCAAAGTTCTTGATTCGTTCAAAATGTGAACATCATTTTGAACCGTCGAAGTATTATTGGTAGTGATATAAACGTTTGAGTCAGAACTGAAGAGTGATCTGACTGAGTCCAATTCGTAGATAATCTGCTTGAACCATAATTCATATGCTGCGATAAAAATAAAAGAAATTTTGTACGATTCTTATTCTTTTTTCTTTTATTATAAATTTTACTTATCAAAAGGAAGATCTTCGTAATACCTTGATGAGTAATGATAAAAAGATGCTCGTCGTGTACCTCTTCATTGTACTCAGCGCTAAGGAGCCTTTGCGCGGATAAGATTTTATCTAAACGAAGATATTCTCCATAGAGTAAGGCTGATCCTTTGGTTAATTGAGTTCCTTCTTGGCTCTGATCATCTCTAAGAGAAATAACGATAAATCGATTTTACTTTTTTTTTTCTTTGGTAATAATAAAAACAAAACAAAAAAAAAATTCAATACGATTTCAATAAGTCAGTCAAGATATATGGTAGTCAGAGAACTATTAATTGTATTATTAATTATAATATTAATATAAAATATTTTTCTTTTAATCGTCTAATATTTTTCATACAAATAAAACGAAATTCTAACATTTAGAATCTATACATTTTGAAACTAGATGTAATACGATTTTATTATCCCCTCAGCATTTTTTTCATTGTTATCTACGTGATATGAGTAGGAAGATCTAATACTATATCGATTATTTTAAAGAACATAGTAGATCTAAAAAGATCATTTTAAATAAAAGTATGCTTATGCGGATAAATGAAAAATAAAACGAGAAAAAAATGTTATTTAGAAAAATGATACAAAACGATGTTGTTTAAGATTAATCGTATATTATATAGAATGATCTTAAACGTTCCGGGCAGACTTAAAAATTTTATAGGAAATTTAATTCTAAACAAAAAATTTACAACAAATATGAGTTGAAAAATGCTTCTTTAAAAAGTTAACGTTTAAAAACCTCTAAAATTACGGTTATTTTATATACTTTTACAAACATCAGAGAAAATATATATTTTTGAAAACGTAGTCAACAAAAATTATAGAGAATTAATTTATCTTTCAAATGAGATTAAAATGATCGTAGTATATTTCATAAGTTGTGAGATAATTAGTTTGAAATGTACAACTTTTGTTTCGTTACTTTTTGTTAAAAAAATGTATATTTATATGATTTCAGAGGTTTTTAGAGAAGTATTTTTCTATCCATGTTTGTAGGAAACTTTTTATTCAAAATTAAATTTTCTATAAAACCTCGGAACATCCTCGGCCACTTTGGATATTTTTAATTTATATAATTTTACTTACGTGATTGTACCCGACAAAGGACAGGCCATTGTTTCTTAGTTATTATTGATGCTTTTTTCGATTCTATGAAACTAACTTTTTACGATGCGTATGCTTTGACAAACACTGTGCGTACTATAGAAATTTTGTGAATTTGTCATAACAAAATGAAATGATTTTTATACTACATTCGTTTAATCGCGATCTTGATATAGGTATCAACACGCCGAATACAAGTCGTCGAATAGATGGTTGACGAGCGACTAAAGAGTGAACGACTAAGAACACGCGGTTATCCTTCTTATAGGCGATACTTTACTGTATATACTAGCTAAAGTAAAATATTTCAATATTTCCAATGTTTTATGATATGTTTTAGTGATATGTTTGAATTACGAGTTCTGCGAATAAAATCTATCGATTCTATACACGTTATCTTTGTAGTCAGATATCGAAATTATAAGAGTATATAATTTATTTAAATTTTTGTCTATATTCAATAATATTTTTTTTTTGCCTTTATATTTCATCATAATTCTTTTATAATGATCATCTAAAAATATATTTTTTTAGTATATTTTTAATTCAATGAATTAAAAGAAATGAATCTTATAAAAAATATTTTCTTATAATCGCATAGATAGTTAAGATTTTTAAACATACGGAGAAATATTGCAGAATTTATGTTATCATTATATATTTTAAAAAATTTCATTTTTATATTTTATATTTGGATTAATCAATCGTATGTTTTAGTTCATAGGGTTATCGCTAGGTGACGTATGAAAGTATTAACTCATCGAGGGACCGAGAGATGGCGATATAATCAGTAGCAATCAAACGAGTTACCGATCACAGAAATTATTTATAATATCAATGGAATATTAACATTTTGAAGATAGAAATAAATATCAATTACGGATCCGATATAATTATGTAATACTATTCTATCCTTTCATTAATTTGAGAACATCGTTAAACTGATATACGATCGTAATAATAATTATCATAGGATACAATTACAAAAATGAACAATTTATTTGGTACGTATCGTTGATGTTTTTATAAGTATTTTAAATGAACGAAATTCCGTCTCATTATCGTAATGAAATGTATTACATTATATTATAAAGTGCCATAAGAATATTATTGCTATATACTATTTAAATTAACCTAAGCATATTTAAATTCCAAAAACTCAGAAACAGAGTGACTATTTTTTGTCTCACTATTTAACCTTCTCATATTCAATGTATATATACATATACTCTTATTTACGAGATTTGTCGTGGCATAAAAAAGCATTATGAGGAACTCGTATAAAATGTATACCCGTAATTGCGATCTAGATAGTGGCTCTAATTGCTTCTACCAAAATGGCTGACTGACTTTATTCTACTTGTATCTTTTCTAGGCAGCATGCGAGAAGATGTTTTCTGTTGCATGGCTTTTTCAGTCCTTGCATTTTATATTTTAATTACAGCTAAGATATATAAACAAATGAAATGAAAAATACATTGGTCTTATTTCTTTGAAAGAAAAACAATATAATATTTATAAATTCATTCTTACAAAAGAAATTATACGAACATCTGTATAAGATATCATTGTATAATTAGATTGTTTAATTTGATAATTAATGAATTTAATTAACAATTACAGATTCTTATGTATCAATTTTTAAGAACGTAAATACAAATTATCATTTCAATCGAATCAATCAATCTTAATTAATCTGATAGTTTTTATTTTGCTATCTTATATACTTTTCAAATTTTGTGCATTGCAAAGATGAAAAAATGTTTTCGTATATCTCTAGATTAATAGTATAGAATCATTGGGATTGGCATAAAAATTATTCATACGCCGATCATATTGCTGTTGCAGTCAATCTTTTCTTTTTGATCTATGTATCAATCGAATGGTGGTAAAACTTAATAATTAGCTATATATATTTACTCGATTTATTATTATTAAGATAACCAAGTGCAATATTCTTCTTATCAAAGTAAATAGATCATCGCTTCAAAAAGTATACTCTTCTTTTATCGAATTTTTTGTTTTTTTCTTTCACTTTTTTTTTTCATTTTCTGTATTACATTACACTTTTTTCTCAGCGAGTAATACATATTTATTTGGTCGATCTTCGATGTAAACACGCTACGTGCGTCAATTCACACAATTCCACAAAATAGACAAGAAAGAATCGTTGAGTATTTCAAGTATACACGAGTTTTTCTGAAGTAAATGCTTCGCTTTAATTTAGTTGCACATCCGAGTCGGTATCTGTGGACGCGGAGTGTGGTTGGAAAAGAAGAACAAAAGAAAAAAAAAAAAAAAGAAAAGAAAAGAAAAGAAAGAGAATGAAAAAAGAGAAGAGCGAAGAAATAGAAAGAGTTAAAACAACGTGTATACCGTACACAGATCGTCAAAATTTTCTTCTCTTTTTTTGTTTTCCTTCCATTTTATTTTTCAACTCTCTTATTTCTATCTCTTCTTTTTCCATCGTTCCTCCTCTCTCCATCCAATTGTACTTATGTACGCGCGATAGATTATCACAAGTGATTCTATTTTGTAAACAAGAGATTCTCGAGAGCAAGATAAAAGAATTAAACAGATTTGACGAAATTTGATGAAAATTTGTACATTTTTTTTACAAACTTACAACTCTATACGTAAATATATACGATTTAAATATAGAATGGTGTTATTAGGTAGTATAATATCTGTAAATATCCATAGATAATATGCATAGATATATGCATACATATATATACATATCTGATAAGCATTAGAAATACATTATTTGTCGGTTCGGATTATCAAGATTAAATGTATGCGACATGTGTCACTAGTGCATATTGTACCGATGCGTGTCATGTAAAATAATATACATACATATAAGTATTTGTGCGTATACGCGCGTGTGTGTGTGTGTGTGTAAAGTCGTATAACTATAAATAGAAAAGTGTAAATTCTATTTGTTAAATATTATGCAACAGAACAAAAAATAACATCACGTTGAGTTTGTCGATTCTGCTTTAGCGAGTCATCGTCGAGCTACGAAGAGACAACGCCCATGACATTATGTACGATTAAGGACCATGTAATCCAGTACTGTATCTAGAACGATGCAACAGGTGTATGCGCTTATCCAGGAGGCATGGTATAGCAAAGGGTAGTGGGTATCGTATAGCTTTGGGTAGCCTTCGAACGATATATTTTCAAAGCAAATTCATTGTTCGACTTCGCGTAACGATAATTAACTTTCAAATTGGAAATCATGTTAGATGTTCTCGTCGAGGTCATAGGATTTCGTAAAACGTTTCATCGAAATGAGCTATGGCTCTTCGTTTTCTTTCTTCTTATTTTTCTGTTTTTATTGTTTTGTTTTCTCTTTATCACGACGTTGATAGGTCTCTGATGTTACGATGTTCATTTAAATATTATTACTTTATTTTTCAATTATTCTTTTCTTCGAGAATAATATACGTAAGTTAAAAAACATAGAAGAATGGATAATTACTGACGCGTTCAGATAGAAGTTCAACGTTTCAAGTCTTTTAATTCGATTCGAATTTGTGCTAGAAGACGTACGAACTAATCGGAAGAGAAAAGGCGAGAAAAGACGATGGTTTATAATTAAAAAAGAAATTGCAATAAATGATGCAGAATATAGAAAGTATTTACGAGAAAAAGGAAAAATGAGCGAAGTCGTTTTAATCGTATGGTGTAAATTTGATCAGCGACTTTTTGCGATAATTCCAAAAAAAAAAAACAATATGATAATTATGCTTTCTTTTTTTTAGATGTGTTGTAATACATGTGAAATGAATTCATATCGAACAATTTCGAACGATGAAATATCAGCACTTTCATAATATCGAATGTACTATCATATAAAAATATAAATAAATGTTGATTAGCTAATTTGAAAGTTAGTTAATCAGTATTACTCGATTTTTTATATTACCGTTATTTAATAATAAAAAATATTTGTTGAGAGTTTGTAGAAGCTTGTATATATAAACAACAAACAAATTAATAGTATCAATTGATGATAAAAAAAACTCTGCCCTTGACACTGTAGATTATCTTTCAAAAATAGAAAACCTCAGACCGCGAAACTGAATATTTTTTTTATGATGTATATCTTAGGGTATATTATATACCCTCATCTATCACACATAACACACACACGCATATATATATATATATACACGCGCGCGCGTATAAATGATTTCTCTTGTTTGGAACGAAACGAATGTAATTATTAACCGAACCTTGGATACCGATATTCATTTATAGAAATACACTTTTTCTATATTCTATTTTTTCCTCTTTCTTTGTATGCATAAAATGCTATGGGGGAAGAAATTTATATATTTTTATAAATATACACACGTCGACGTATGATCAAGATATAAATGGAAAAAAATTGATATGGAGCGAAATTTGTTACTCTTGTTTTGTTTATATTGAAATAGAGAAAAAACTAATTATAAGTAAAAACGAGAGAGAGAGAGAGAGAGAGAGAGAGAGAGAGAGAGAGAGAGAGAGAGAAAAGTTCGAGAACCGGCTAATTACGGCCCTGAATGATATGTCCTTCTCGATCAATTCCTATAGGCTGATGAAGTAGTGTCGGTGAACGTATATAGGAAACAAGAAGTATAACCGGCTTTATAACTATACTCAATGATAAAACTGTTCATACGGTTGGGTCAAGCTATCAGTAACAAACTGGCCGTCTTGTAGTTTGAGCAAAATATCTTCTTCTTCTTCTTCTTCTTAATCATCATCATTCTTTTTTCATCTATTCGATTCATCGAGTCGTGTGAGTAATATTAATGCTACCTCTTTTTACCAAATAACACATATCTTTTTTTTTTGTCACATTTTTTTTTTTTTTATATTTTACATTTTTTATTTGTACTTCTCGTATGTTACTACGACTTTTTATAATTTATAATTTAGTTGGTAAGGTCTTTCATTAGAAATACATATATCGACCTCGCTATTCGGACATACGATCGTATGTAAGGTCTAAAAAGAAAGTAAGCAAACAAACGTGCTAAGGATTTATATTAAAATTCTATTCAAACGTATATTGGGAAATAGGTACGTTTTTGTACTATTCATAATGCAAATCTTCTTTCGTTAAATGTTAAAAAAAATCATACTTCAAAAACAATAGTGAAATACTTTTCATTAATTAAGAGAAGATATCTGTTCGTTTATATTTTTATAAACGAAGGGATAGAAGGAATTTCCTTTAAATAATCTTATAATAGAGAAAATTTTTAAATATTACAATATTATATGTATTTTGTTTTTCATAATAATAACGAAAATATTCATATGTAATTCAAGGCCAAATAATTCGTTTGATTCGAACGATATAAAATTATATTGAAATATAATCTACTTTAATATAATTTTCGTTATAATTATTTCTTTAATAATAATTATTATTTTGAACGAATCATTGAGACATACGATATCTCTTAAAAACGTTTGAAATTTCAAAAAAGTTTTATGCTTTATCGAGTCGATATGATTACATTATCATAGATAACAGCGTAAGTAATCAATTTGCATTTACTTTTCATGTTTTTTTAAATCAAATTTCCTACTAATTCGATTCTTTTAACAGTATTTTATAAATTTATTAAATATTAATTAATAGTTATTTATTAAAATTTTTTACTGATAAGAAAAATGATATTTTATAAGAATTTATTTAAGTGTCTTATTTTATTATTTAAATGATATATTATATTTATTTATAGCACAAAAAACATGTCAAAGATCACTTTGTACTCGCAACTAATTAGTCCACCTTGTCGTGCCGTACTTATGGTAGGAGAAGCCATTGGCATTGATTTTGACATCCACGAAATCAATTTATTCAATTATGATCAACAAAAAGAGGATTTTGTTAAAGTAAGCTTGTATTATAATAACATACAATTTGAATGTATATATATTGATTTATAGAAATATTTTATTTGCATTCGTGTAGATACACATTTTAATAAATCATTAATAAGAATGAATTTCAATTTTGAAAGGTTATCATTTTATGGGAAAAACAAAAAAATTTCTACAAATTATCTTGAAATTAACAAATTTAATGTGCGATAAATAATAATCTGCTAGAAAAATTGTGTTATCGTCGAAAAGCATTATTGTAACTCTTTTTTTATTTCGTCATTTTGTAATTATCGCTTTTTAAAAGAGTATCAAGATTAATTTTTTATTATTCTTATATAATTTTATCTTTTAGTTGAATCCCCAGCATACTATTCCAACTATTCAAGATAATGATTTTATATTGTGGGATAGGTGAGTGATTTTTATTATCAAAAAAGATATATATATATATATATATATATATATATATACACTCATATGTAGAGAATAAATAAGAAATATTTTAATTTTGTAGTCACGTTATCGCTGTTTACTTAGTTGAGAAATATGCTGCTGATGATTCTCTTTATCCTAAAGACCTTCAGCTGAGAGCAACGTTATGGCAACGTCTTATCTTCGATGCCTCGGTCCTTTTCCATGTTCTTAAAAGAATTTTTGTAAGTGTATTTTTCGTTAGAAGAATGATTCGATTTTCCGTTATCGTAGAAAAACGAAATCTTAATCCGAGGATTATTTTTGATTATCGCAGAAATCCATAAAATTGGGATCAGAGAAAACAATTTCAAAATTACTAATGGAAGAACTCGAAGAAGCCTTGGGATTTTTCGAAAAACTTTTGGAAGGTAAACAATGGTTGGTCGGGGATTCTTACACGATTGCCGATATTTGCAACGTCAGCACGGTCTCCTCATTGACCGTAAGTTTTTATTAGACCATTGCTGAATCCATTGAATTTTAATGATATAAATTTATCGAAAATATTTGCAGGTTATCGTGCAATGGGACAAGTATCCGAATATTCAAGCTTGGCTGAAACGATGCGAGGAACAATTGCCGGGCTATGAAAAATATAATGTACCAGGAAGCAAGCAAGTTAATGAAATATTCCAACAGAAACTCATGAACGCGTGATTCTTTGGAAACTTCTTTAATCGATTTATTCAATCGATTGAAAAATATTTTCTATTATTTTTAATCAATTATTATTTGAATTGTATGTTAATTAAATTATATTTTTCTATTTTTTAAGTTTAACGAAAATAAGCTTTAAGCGACCACGTTCGTTAGACCTTTTTAACGAGTTTTTAAATTCTTTGTTGAAAATAATCGATAATTGAATAAAAGTTGTCATGTTACTTTAAAGTTGGGAACTTTGTTTAGTGAGAACGGACAGTTTCATCGATCCATCGAATCTATACATATAGAATATATCGTCAGGTTAGATGATCTTTGAACAAGTTCAGACGAATCGACGGTATTCTAAGATGTATGTCAGATAAATTGCGTTTTTAAACCTTCCTATTACTATGAGTCTTAAAACGTTCGTTAACAAATCTGTTCCGACGTTGTACATGACCGAATTATCTCCACCTGTTAGATCGGTCTTAATGACGGCTTATATAATCGGTCTTCCATTATATAAGAAAGAAGTAAATTTAATTTCAGGC